ATGGAGTGCCTGCCATTACAAGGAGACCCGGCCCCCCCACCCCACCGGCCCAAATTAATGACCTCGTCTTCTGGAGATGCCGCGTAGCCCCCGATTGAAACTTTGCATCGATCATTCATCTCACAACCGCACAAGCACGGTATGATAAAGACACGCCACAGCTACACTGTGAAGTGCTTTAGATAGCAGACATAATGTTGTTATATCGGACGAGAGAATTGTCAACTCGTCTGTATCAGTACTGATGCGGTTTTGTAAAAAGTGTAGTGCACCTACCAAGTCAAGCACCATCAACCATATGTCATAGCTAATTTCAGCTTTGGTATCTTGCATGCGTGGCTCATGATATGACAATTCCATTGCACAAATGTATCGGATGTGAGCCTCAGTGTACGCCAGCGAACGTGTAACAAAAGGCTATGCACCGATGATGTATCGACACAATAGGACAAGATCGAGAGTAGAAAACGAGGCAGAGGCAAATTCCCAAGTGATGTAATCGCCCGCCAAAAGGCGTGGGGGTTTCAGGGTCGTGTCGGAGAGTAATAATTGAGAGAAGTCAGGTAAGAGTTAGGATGTTGAGACAGTAAAATGTGAGGAAAGGAACTGCCCAGAACACCATCATATCGGAATAAGCAGTTTTAGGTGACAAAAGTGTGGATCTTGAGTAACACAAGGACAAAATTTCTGAAAAAGCAGTTTTACATACGAACCAAGCTGAATGTTATTTTTTGACTATCTTTACGGAATTGAGCAGATTGAGGTAAGTGAACACATTGGCGTAGGAAACATTTCCCGGCAGCCAAGGAAGTTGCTTTTCCTTCGAATCTTATGGTAGGTCGTCATCAAATGAAGGGTCGTCTACCCCGGCACGAGCGCAGCGCGCGATCACGTGCTAATGGACATAACTTTAGAAACGCGCGATGGAAATTCATTGCCTAACCGCTAGCAATACGCAAATGTGGAAAAGTCCTTTAGCAATCCAAACATCAGATGGAATCTTGCGAGTCGTCTTTAGTTGTCGATGTTGATCTTGACGCCGAAGTCGTCGAGCGTCTTGACATATTCATCGCCCAGAGTCGCCGGCGTCAGAATGCCACCACCACACCTTCCAGCTTCAGTGTCCTCCAATCTGCCTCTCAGAATGACCTTCGCAGCAGCACTCAACGTCATTCCCGTCGCGACATAGCCACCGTGCGCGATGTCAATCTTAGCAGTGACTTTGCCTTTTCCGTCTTCAGCGACGCCGACGCCGCGGTAGTTCATGAAATCCTTCTTCATCTTCTCTTTACTTGGCCCTTCGCCTGGCGCTGGGATGAGAAACTTCTTCATTAGAGGGGCGAGGATCCATCGTGTTGGTGGGAGCGCCAGGAAGAGTCCTACGGAGCCGAGAGCAAGTTTAACGAGCAGCGCACTGACAACACCGCCGGCGCGCATATACTCATTAAAGCGGAAGCGTGGACCGTACGAGACTGAAGCATCGTTTGTCGATTGTGCAGCTTGAGAGTACAAGCCCCAGGAGCGATGAGTGATACACTCGTCGACCGAAGCCATAAGTCCTACAGTCTGCAAGCCTCCCAGTTCAGGCACAGAGAGTAGTCCGAGCAGGTTATGTGGGAAGCTTCCCGCGGGAGTGCCAACGGTGTTGTCGGATTTGACAGGCGAGAGTGAGTAAGGGTGCATGGATTTGGCCAGATGGCCAAGCGAATAATTGTTGAAGAGCTCCAACATCGTAAGGCTGGTGCCTCCACTGATACCGCTCTTGAAGTCGTAGAGGGTCATGATAACTCTCTCGCAGGCGGCGTTGTAACGCTTGCGTACTTCCTTTGCGAGAACATACGCCATGATGTCAGCTGGAACAGAATCGAGACCGCATTGGGGAATGACGATGCTGTTGTTCTTCTTTGCAAGTGTGTCGTATTTGGCGATCATGTCGTAGACCCAGGGTACCTCTCCCGTGCTGTCGAGGTAGTGCGTGCCATTATTTATGCATGCCGCCATAACAGGTTCGCCATAGAACATAAAGGGTCCAACGGTGCTTATTATGAGCTTGGTCTTCTTCGCTAGGTCGTTCAGCTGGTCTTCGTTGATCTCGCAAGTTTCAATGTCTGGTATAGCAGTCAGCCTAGTACATATTGAAATTAGAATTTCGTTCATTACCGGGTTGCTTTCGTCCTGGGCTCAACGCGTTCAACTCATCGACAACAGCCTGCAGCTTCTTGGCGCTTCTGTCACGCGCTTCTGTCAGAATCATGAACACGTGGTGACTTGAACATTATGTTGGTGATCCTTACCGTCCAGCAATCGCCCATTTGAGGTCCTCGGGAAGTTGAGTGCTTATCCATTCTGCGACAAGTTTGCCCGTGTAGCCAGTCGCTCCTAGCTAAGGTCTCCTTATCAACATGTTTCATGCGCAGTAATCTAGCGAAACGTACCAGGATAAGCTCATACTCTCGCGTTGTCGAAGCCATTGCTTCGTTGAACTGATTCAAATTTGTTTGTTTGACGATCCGACAGCGTGATGGAACTGTGAAGAGAACGAGGTCCTCTCGAGCGGGCGAAAACTCAGGAAGGGCGTGCCTATGGTGACGGACAAAGCGCTACATTGGGTAACCGCCATATTTTTCGGCAGGCGCGAGCAGGCGCTACGTCAAATGTCACAAGCTTGTAACCGTCTTTGCCACCCCGCATCTCCCATGGTTTGACGCGTCAGCAACAACGAGTACCGCACTTTAAGTCCCTTAACAATAGATGCACATAAGGCGATTAGCGTTCGAAAGTATGTAAGGATGGGACGAATGTCGACCAATGTGGCTAGCCTGGATATGGCTTGGCGTTCGGCTGATGAAGCAGAAGACACACAACGACAACAAAGTTCACCTCACCGCCTGCACGCTGAAGCGCTCTGTCAAGGCACCACAACCACGATCAGGCATGCAGATTTTGTCTGCTAGGGTTCCTTTCCTTTCTTATTGGATGACTGAGAACTGTTGACTTGCTGAAAGCGGGGGGGCTTCGAGATGACACGGTCAGCTTCTGCAATTCTCACAGCATAGCAGCATGGCTAATCTCGTCTCAAAGGCCTGCAGACTGCCAAATTGTTACCGAGAAGCACCGATGTACCCGTCGAAATGTACCTCCGACCGTTGCTTGCGAGCGAAATGCGCCTCCGCGCGCAGCAGTACCTCCACTCGGGCGCTTACAGTGTCGCGAGGCATTAGACGTAGAGAATACAAGAACTAAGCGTTTACATTTTGGCCTATCGCGCCTGCCTCGCGCGTTCCTTCGTAGCGACCGAGCAACTCTCCCGTCACCAGTGACTTGTCAAGACTTCGAGGAGTCTGGCTCGCTGAATCAGCCCCGCTATGGTCGCGACAATGCCATTTGCTTCGCGCACATCGCACAATGTTGTGGCTACTAACAGTTCTACAACCAATACAACGAGACTATGTTGGGGACTTGATTGCGAGTTACTAGTACATTGGTGCTTATCGCTTCCCTGGCTCGCAATCAGCCCATTGCAATGGATTGAAGATAATGCTCAGCTGTACCCGCGGTTCCATCGTTATACACAAATCCAGGCGGTCTCCCTTTCTAGGCTATGTCACGGACACCGAAGACACATGTCTCAACGAGTGATCTGAAGATGGAGCCTCGATGCTACCGCAGCACCAATGTAGATCCGCCAGGGAGCGAGCATGAACGAGCGCAACGGCGCAACGGCGCCTGAAACATTGTTTGCATTCCGGGAGGTGTTCATGACCTAGCAAGTCATATGGGCCATCGCTTAGGTAGCTGTGACACGTGGTAAGGCAAGCCTGAAGCTGATAGTCCGCTGCGTCATCCAACGTTCTAGGTCTGGACTCTCTTTGTTGAAGCGAGATCAGCTTATTCTTTCGCTATTCTTCGGTCCTGCCCTTGTCACAGTTTAATCGGTCATCCGTTATTGCCTAAGAGTTGTGGCTGATGCGCGCCATAGAGCATGATCGGCGCTAGTGACCCCACTACTTAAACCGCCGGCTTCCCTTTCACCTTCCTATCCTCTCCAACTTATGAATCGCGTCGATCAACCTTTTCGCTATATCCCGTCGAAATACCACTCCAATGGCCGAGACTTGTATAGTCTGCCTCGGCGACCTCGTCCCCCAAGACGAAGGCCCTATCGCCGCCGATTCGTCTTTTGCGACGCATTCGGTTGATGGTGCTGATGGTGCTCATCAACACAACGCCAACACCAAGAGCCGAAAGACGGCCTCCCAACCCGCCACCCCTGACGATGAACTGGTCGCGCACCTACTGCCATGTGGTCACGACCTGCACAACGAATGCCTGAAGCCCTGGGTCGAGAGAGCAAACAGCTGTCCGATATGCCGAGCGAGCTTTAATCTAGTCGAGCTAAGCGCCCGCGTTGGAGGTATGTCATTCCACGGAACTGGACGCCACTGGATCGTGTAGTTGTAGAGTGCTCTTGTTGCTTAGACAGCCGCACATCTACTGGCTAAATGGTCAGTTGAGCTCAGCTTAACCTCCGCACGACTCACTCACCGCAGTTCAGCATCATTAACGCCAAGATCTCGCATGCTAACATACTACAGGTCCTAAGCTCTCGGAATATGCTGTCCGAGATAAGCAGCAAGTAGCTGACATCGATCCGTCAATGATCGTCGACGACGAGGACCTCGGCCTCGAGGACGATGGCAGCTATGACGCGTGCATGGTCTGCGACGAATTCGGTGATGCATCCCAGCTGATGTATTGCCATAGCTGTGAGCAGCTCTCGCACGTATTCTGTGCTGGCCTCGACCGGATGCCATCGCGCGGCGCATGGTACTGCCAGCCCTGCATGGAGAGTGGCTTGGTGGAGTCCGCCTCCCTGCGGCGTCCACCTCCCCGAGGTCCTGCTGCCTGGATCAACGGTCGCAGCCGAGTGCCTCGCCACAACAGAGGGCCCGATGAATGGGTTGGTGTGTGGCAGAGTGTCTGGGATCGACTGCAGTTCGACATCGAATTTCCATTTGAAGACGAAGAACAGTCAGAAAACCAGTCGGAGGTTTTGAGACGCGAAAATCATGAGTGGGACCGTCGCTTCGAGCTTGCGCGTCAGATGGGCGCGGGCACTCGTTTTCGCGCAGCCGCCGACAACGTCCACAGCCGCCGGCGAGGGTCGAACCGTTCGTCACGACCCACCAATCGCACACTCCATCGCGAACCTCCAAAGACACCTCGAGACCCTGAGTCACAGGAGGAGATCCGCGCATGGAATCAATTCGAAAAGGCACGAGAGCAGCTTGCACAAGATGAGGGAAATGTGGCACCAAGCGTTGCAAGCACAACAACAAGCCGCCGCGGTGGCAGGAAGCGGAAGTCGAACGATTCGCCTGCGTCCCCCGCCGATTCTGAGCCCAGGGAGCCACAACCCGAACGCAAACTTAAACGCCCTCGCACACGCCTGCACTTGGATAACGGCGAGTCATCCGCAACGGCAGCTCGTCGCAATACGGCCGCGTCCTCTGCAGTCCCGACAACAGCATCGTCGCCACCTGCTGTCAATGGCGAAGCAGCCTCAACTCCTGGCTTCTTACAGTCATTGTTACAAGAAGTCGAGGTCAACCGCTTTGCAGAACGCGAGAAGGAGATCGCCGCTCCCCAACCGCGACGTGTTATTGTTGAGCGTGCCTGCTCACCCACATCGCCAGGCTTGTCGCCCATCTACCAAAAGGCCCAAGGCATGAGCACTCCACCACCACTGAACCTCACCCGCTCCAAATCGCCTGTGCAGCAGGACCAGCAGCGATCTCCTACATACTCTCCATACTCGCCCGCCGACGAGGAGCGACTTGGTCGGCGCGCCATCGCGCACCGCTCCGCTGGTCTCAGTAGCCCGCCTCGCTCCAAGGACTCGTCTCCATCACGTCCCGCGCTGTCTTATTCGACCAAAGCCGAACTCCAACGCATGGTCACCGCAGTCCTCAAACCCGTGTACTTGAAGAAGGAAGTCACAAAAGAGCAATACACAGACATAAACCGCGACGTTTCGCGTCTTTTGTATGAGAAGGTTGGAGAGGCAGGAGCCGATGCCTTAACAGATCAAGACACGCGGGAGAGGTGGCAGCAAATGGCAGGCACCGAGGTCCAGAACGCCATTGAGGCTCGTCGCGTCAGCAGCGCAGCGGCACTTTCGCCTGCAGCTGATGACTCCGCTTCATCCTCATCGTAATAATGACTCTTTCCCATCGCATTTGTTAGTTGCGCGGCGTTTCACATTTTCAGCGATATTGGCGCATACGGTACACATCGGGTATTTCACAGTCTGCTGACTATGATACCCGGATCACGGTCCCCTGGTGTTATGGATGGGGAATTTTAGATACCATGGGCTTTGGCTTTGAACATATTCTAAGAGTCTAAGCATATTCTGTGGGTGCGCAGATAGGGCGCGCGCATCTGTAATGACATAATGGATCTTCACGAGCGAATATTGTCGACTCTGTCATAATTTCGCCGCAACTGCAAGCGAGCCGTATCACTGAGAGACAGCTATATTCAGAGTAACTTACATCTCCAACTAACCTCACTCAGACCTCCTTCAACAACCCAGCATCTGGAACATCCTTCAAACACTTAATCTTCGCCACGCCCTCCCACGTCTTCGTCCCTTCCGCAATCTCCACACTGCAATTATACAACTCATCGATGAACGCCGGCACAAACGTGCCCGGCCCCTTGACAGCCTGCCTCCCTGCCGCCTGCTCCGCAGCAATCTCATAATGCAGCACACCCGCCACAGCCGCAAGTAACTTATCCCCCCTATTCGCCGCCAAATACGCACTGAGCGTCGTGCCCAACGTACACCCACTGCCCGTAATCTTGCCCAGATACTCATGACCGTTGGATATCGCATACGTGCGGATGCCATCAGATATCACATCCGTCGCGCCCGTCATCAGCACGACATTCCGTTCGCGCAAGGCCAGGCGAGCCACGATATATGCGCGTTGTTCGAGCGTGTACAGCGCGTCCCCAGAATCCACGCCGCGCTGCTGCGTGCTGTCGTCCACGCTGAACCCGCTTGCCCTCGCAACAGCCAGGATCTCCCGCTCGTTTCCCTTGATCAAGTCAAAGTACGCCGCGCTCATCAACTCCGCGACCGCCGCGCGCCGGACGGATGTAGCCCCCGCGCCCACGGGATCGAGGACGATAGGCCCGCCGGAGAGATTGTATGCGCGGATGGCTTGGGCGTAGTTGCGCAGGCCGTCGGGCGTGACGGTGCCCATGTTGACTACCAGCGCGCCATTGAGGGCAGATAGGTCGTCCGCTTCAGCACCGTAGTTTGCCATTATGGGCGATGCGCCGATGGATAGGGCGGTGTTTGCGGCGAAGTTTTGGACGACGAGGTTGGTCATGTTATGGGATAGTGGAGCCGTCTTTTTCACGTTTGAAGTGGCGGTCAGGGCGGAGGTGAGGATGTGCGCGATCTCGTCGGATTCTTTTTCGAGCCAGAAATGAGGTTCTGTGGAATGCGATTTAAATGGGGGGAGGGAAGTTGAGAGAATGGAGAGGTGAGCTGATGCGGCTTTGGGGTCTGGGGCGCCGATTATGGCGGAGACGATGGCGACGCCATCGATTGCTTTGGGTGGGGTGGATGGAGAGGATGGGGCGTGGAGTTGGTATCGGATGCGTTGGAGGTTGGAAGCGTTGACGCCGCCGATACAGACTGTTTTGACTTTCTTCTCTGCGTCGTTTCCCTGTTCGAGGTGGCGCAGGATCTTGCGGATGCCGTTGATGCCGATGATGTCTTTTGCGTTTTTCTTGGTGTTGGTGGCGTACAGAGTGCCGATGCCCAGGTAGTCTGCTCCTCGCTCGACGGCTATGCGGGCTTCGTCGATGGAGGAGACGGTTGCTCCGATTATGGCATCTGGACCAAGGATGTGGCGGGCTGAAGAGATGTTCATGTCATCTTGGCCTAGATGAACTCCCTCGCAGCCCACTGCCAGAGCTACGTCCACGCGGTCATTGATAAGGAGGGGAATGTTGTGGGCTTTGCATTTTTCATGGAGTTGTTTCGCTATTGAGATGAGGAGACCTGTATCGGATGTCTTGTCACGGTACTGGACGATGGTGACTCCTTTACAGCATGTCAGTCATCATCGTGATATCGGTGGGTAATGTCCATGAAAATAGCCGATTGTAAAAGGAAAGAACGACCGACCTCCTAACAAAGCTTGCTCAACAACATCGACCAAATCTCTCGAGCCCAATATGGCCTCAGTCGAGTCAGTCACGAGATACAGCGAGTAGTCGACCTGTTCCTTCATCGTTGCGATTGGTCAAGAGAGTAGTGTGGTAGTGAGAGTTTAACCCCACATTCGCGAAAGAAAATCGAACGCGGCTGATGACGCACTCCGTACTTCGTAGTAGCTTTTCGTTAGCTTTGGCCCCAAAATAACTTGGTAATGCTTAGTGTCTACACCGGTGTAATGAAAAGCATGTGAAGTTTTGACATGGTGAAGTCACCGTTGACCGACTGTGGAGAGATGCCATCAAACGATTGCCCCACGTTTGTAAGCTAACAAACAGGCCGCAGCGGAGACAACGATGATCATGTTGAGAGAGAGGAACCGTATCCCGGAGGTTCTGTTTGGAGACAATCCGTCTAGCACACAAGAGTATGCGTATTATCGGCGTGTGGCTCAACAACCCGTTCCTGCCTTCACATCCATAACAGGAAAGTAAGGGTCGCTCCAAGGATGACACGGTTGGCGCAGTGACCCGCAGCTTCCCGATTGTCGGATCACGTTCCAGGCAGACGTCTGTGAGCTAGAAAATCTCTTTGATGATCTACGAACACGCACAGTCGGAGAGCGATTGCTCGCTTGCATGCCGCAGCCGGTATTCCATGGCAACGAGCGTCGCAGGCAAATGGATTGCCACGGAGCAATTGCAGCAATGCAGTCTGACGGGTCACGTACGTGGCTTAACACATGACACGCAGGCGGACGGTGATGCTTGTGTGGTTTGACGCGGGCTGCTGCCGTGGTTCGTTGGCGCTCGGGCCAAATTTCTAACTCCGCAAGGCTTTAAATACTAAGTCCCTCCACCACGTCCCGTTGCCCGCACTCCACCTCGCACACTCACGCTCAAAAATCCACACAAACCGCCCTCCCCAGTCCCCGTCACTGGCAACAGCTATACAAACCCCCCACACCACGCGCCAACCCGCCCGCAGAGTCGCCCGACCAAGCGACGTGCCCAAACCGCCACCTTTCCCTACAGGACTGCGCAAGCACCAGACCCGCACCACACAGCCGTTCAGACAACTGCGGTATATGTATTCGCGCCAAAGCACCTCTTTCCGAGTCGAACCTCCCCCCAAACTGCAAAAATTTCGCTGTACGCGGATACCCAGCAGTTCCATCCACTGCACCAACGGCTAACCTAGTCCACCCTGACCCGGAGTCACACACGTCCAACACACATACCCAGAGACTGCATCTACTGCATGTCTCTTTCGGCCCTCGTCAACATTTTCGACCTGACCTTGCACGTCCGCCCGCTCCAGCTCCACCAAAAGTAAACCCTCCACCCAGTCACCTCACTCCCCAACCGTCACCATGGCTACCATCAACATTCGTCGCGATGTCGCCGACTCCTTCTACCGCTACAAGATGGAGCGCATCCAGTCCAAGATTGAAGGCAAAGGCAACGGCATCAAGACCGTCATTGTCAACCTGAGCAGCGTCGCCAACTCACTTGCCCGCCCTCCCGCTCACGTCATCAAGTACTTCGGCTTCGAGCTCGGAGCCCAGACCAACACCAACCCCAATGACGACCGCTGGATCATCAACGGCGCCCACGATGCTAGCAAGCTCCAGGACTACCTCGACGGCTTCATCACCAAGTTTGTTCTTTGCAAGAAGTGCAAGAACCCCGAGACCGATGTCCACATCAAGGATGGCAACATCACGCTCGACTGCAAGGCTTGCGGAAAGATCTCCGACGTCGACCCGCGCCTCAAGCTTACTGCTTTCATCTTGAAGAGCGAGCCCAAGAAGGGCAAGAAGGACAAGTCCACCAAGAAGGCCGATCGTCGTGCCCGCAAGGAAGCCGAGGCCAAGGGCGAGCCCACCTCCCCCGATGGCGGCAGCCCCGGTGACAGCGCAGAGGATGACGATGCCAATGGCGATTACGAGATCGAGGCTGGTAGTGACGACGAGCTCACCCGCCAGATCCAGGAGGGCGCCAAGGAGATTGAAGAAGAGGAGGCCAAGGAGGTCGAGTGGCACATTGACACCTCTGAGGAAGCCATGCGCGCCCGCGCCCAGCAGCTCCCTGACGACCTCAAGCGTGCTTTGGTGATTGAGGCCGACGAAGAGGGAGGTTCTTCCTACGACGTCTTCGGCAAATGGATCCTTGACACTGCTGCGGAGAAGGGTGGCGTCGATAAGCTTGACAATGTCGAGATCTTCCTGAAGGCCAAGGAGCTCGGTATCGAGGACAAGCACCGCACGCTTACCGTCATTCCCCAGACCCTCTTCTCCGATAAGATCGTCAAGCAGATCGACACCCGTGCGCCCATGCTCAAGAAGATGATCACCTCAGAGAAGCACGAGAAGGCCTTCCTCGGCGGTATTGAGCGCTTTGTCGGAAACGACAAGCCCGAGCTGATCGCTCAGGTCTCGCCTATCCTAATGAAGGTCTACGACAACGATCTCTGCTCTGAGGAGGTCCTCAAGCCCTGGTGCGCCAAGGCCAGCAAGAAGTACGTCGACATCAAGGTCAGCAAGAACGTGCGCAAGTCTGCCGAGAAGTTCAAGGACTGGCTCGAGACTGCTGAGAGTGACGAGGAGGATGACTCCGAGTAAAGCCTGACACAGGGACTTCTCGGGAGATGGAAGGTGTGAAGTTTGCGGATCTGCCAACTGATGCCAGTCCTTACATGTCTTGCTTCTAGCAATATTCCTGCTATTGCGTTTGATCTTACGGCGCGCGGTTCACTCCCCTCTTGTCTTCACCGTACTGGGATTGTGGGAAGCTTTCAACATTGCTCTTCCTACTCTAGCTAGCCAATAAAAGTGCTTCTCGCATGCTCAATTGCTCAAGTCCTTGTGTTGTGCATGATCCATTGGTGACATCTATGGCTGGCTTGACATAATTACTGTTTCATCAAGTGTGGCCTACGATGTATTTATTGTTCTCCTACTCCAGCAAAAAGAGCTGCCGCGACGAAGTAGACTCCACATGTATCTGTGACAAAATGAACGAGAAGGTGCTCGTATAATTATATTTCATTTCTCCTCCTCTCCTATTCCAATCCATTTCCGGGGTATCGCAGCACAGCTCTCCCATCCCCACTTTACTTAGACAATAGCATCCGGCCGCTCAACCCTCTTCCTCGCCGTCCCCAACCCCGCATGCCCCTTGCCCTGATCCGCGCCCAACCACGGCTTCAACGCATCCCCCAGCTGAGTCTGTCTCAGGAAATAAATCACCTGGCCCAGAATAATCAGCACAAACGCAATGGGATACATCCAGTGTATGCTCAAGTGGAAGACCTTGACGGCCAATGGCGACGCCCCAGAAACTGCCAGTCAGCAGGGAAATGTTGAAAAACGCGGCGCTGGAGAGGCGGAAGAGCAGCGGGGCGAGCGAATAAAACAGCGTCAGGATGAACGTGTACCCCGTGAGGTACCCGCCGACCTTTGAATTCCACGTCGCGCTGCGGAACGACGAGCGGTCGAAGATGCCGGCCTGCGTGCCATTGATAAACATGCCCCACCACGCGAGCTGCCCGACGACTTCATACAGCGGGCGCTCCGAGACGAGAAACTCTTCAAAGACGTTGCTCAGGCCGTAGAAGGTGGCGCCGAGCAGCGCGAACAGGTCGCCCTTGACGGCGTCGCTGGCGCCAAACGCGTTGGCGCCTGTGATGTGGTCGGACCCGAAGATGACGCCCAGCCCGCCGATGCACAGCAGGATGCCGAAGATTTGCGTGTAGTGGTAGCGCACGCGCAGGAAGAAGAAGGAGATGACGACGACGATTACAATGGCCCAGAAGTTGATGAGTTGCGCGGAGAGGATGGTCGTCTAGGGCGGTGTGTTAGTAACTCTAGTTGTCTGCATGGTTTTTGAAGGGGTGTTTATTAAAACTCACGTAGCGATATGCCAGCACGACGAAGTAGTTTCCCTCGACGTCGAAGAACGCTAGGATGAAGAACCGCCATCCATCAACCACACACAGCCGTGCCCACCTCTTGAACCCGTATTTGTAAATCGTGTACGTCGTGTAGATCAGGTTGAGCAGGACGTAATTGAAAAACGACTGGAAAGCGGGGATCGAGGTTCCTTCGTTTGCGAGGAGCGTGGACAGCGTGTTGGTTGACGTGATGCAGATTGCAAGGACTATTTCCACCAGGCGTTAGCATCTCGCCTCGCAGGTTGCTTTTCATGGCATGGAAGGGGAAATTCTACCTTGCCCCAGAAGCAGCGTGATCCAAAACTGCTTCGTCTTGACGTACTGGAACCACCGTCCTTTACTCTCCGCAACCGCCTCGAGCGTCGGATTCGCCTGCGCGCCCGCATCGTTTCCAGCGTGCGTGACGACAATCCCCGCGCCCGTCTTGTCCTGCGCGCCCTCTTCCCGGTGGTCCTTGGAGCCGTAAAACCCCTCCGCGCCGGCAGGTTGGATCGGCGCCGACATGATTCGCAATTGGAGCTTTGTGTACAAGTTCGCGAGCGCAAAACTCCTCAAGTCGCTCACGGGGAAAAAAAAAGGTTGTCTTTATGCAAGGCAAGTGTACATTTGACAAGAGTAATAAGTAGCGGGGAGCGCGCACGCCACTTATACCTCGACACTAATCGCTCACCACACGCGTAGAGAGAAAAGTTCGCTTGGCTTCGCGCTCGATGCTGGTCGACCCACAGGTTTGCTCCGAAGCCATGCCGCGTGCAGTCTAGACCATGCACGTTCTGGAAGCCCTGGGCCGCAGGCGAGAGTCGACCGAGGATACATGTAGACGTTTGCGATTTGCGTTCGCATTTTACTTTTTCTTTGGCGCGGGCATATGTTGAGAATCGCGAGGTTTGTTTGGCGGGAAGGACGGCCGAGGTGAGGGGTAGCTCGCTTGATCTTGCTTTGCGCTGCTGCGACCTTTCATGCTAGATTCGACATTGGTTCTTTCTTGGGAGGACATGCATGTTTCCTTTTGCCATGCACGCCACGTCTACCGAACATGCAGAAAATTTCCTGCCGGGGGCTAGGCGCGGTGATGGGCCCGAGACCCTGGTGCTAGGGATGTGGGAACGATGGACGGGCCACTTTCTAGACGCGTAGGTAGTGGATCAGGGTCTGGAGCTTTGGTATTGAACAGGTCTTCTGTGAGAAGGACCAGATGTATGACTCAGCAAAGAGTGTCAAACTCCTCCAAGTGTCGATGTAGAATCTTGGGGATTAGATTTGTTGTAAAGGATGAAGAATAGTAACTCCGTCTGTCATCATATCTGCCTCTTCTCTTCAATCGTACTCATACACCTTCGTCCCGCCTCACCTAGCTTTCCTGTACCGTCCCTGCCTCATCTCCTCCTTTAACGCATCATCCTGCTCCGGCAGCGGCGCTCTCCGCCTGATCCCTGCATCCCCGCCCTCCTGTCCACCCACTGGTCCTCCATTCTGGAAATTCGGCGGCGGGGGCGGCACACCCATACCTGGAGGAGGGAAACCAGGGAAGCCTGGTGGCATAGGCGGCATACCCTGCGGTAGGGGTGGCATATGGTGAGGTAGTGGTGGCATTCCGTGCGGTGGCACAGGCATACCTGGTGGAGGGAAGCCTGGGAACCCGGACGGTGGGAAGGGAGGAGGAGGGCCATTTGAATGTGGCGGTGGCGGGCCGCCGTGATGTGGTATTGGCGGGGGAGGGATAGCGCCGGATTGAATGAGCTGTGCGATCCGCGAAGGATCCATACCTTGGAACTGTGGTGGTAAACCCGCACCATGTGGTAAGGGAGGAAAGCCACCAGGGGGCGGCGGAGGGAGGGGTGGATGTGGTGCGCCACCAATTCCAGGTAACGAACTTGATGTACCGTCTGGTGCTGCGGAAAGACCTGGTAGGGAGAGACCGGGCGGTAAGCCAGGCATGCCGGAGCTCTTGGAAGGCATCTTCTGATCGACCAGACCTTCGGCCTCGTCTTCGGCTTCGAGTTCTTCTTCCTCTGCGCGTCGTCGCCGGCCCTGTCGCCCATCCCATGTGCCTTCTTCTTCGGCTGCCTTGTCGCCAATGTGGTAGCGGTCTTTGATGTAGCTCGTGTCGCCTGGTCGTGGTCGGGTCCAGAAGCGTGTGATGCGGTCGTTACTACCGGTCGCAAGAATGTGGCCTAGTGGGTGCCAGTCCATGGACCAGACGGTGTATTCATGAGCTCTCTTGATGGTGTGCGCGGGGTAGATGGTTTGCGCAGGCGCGGTCTGCGGGTCGGCCGCGTCGTAGGGGGAGATAGAGGGTGGCACGTCGTCGGGTGCATTTTGTTCGTCGAGGAGGTGGTGTAATATAGCACCGTCATAGCCGCCCGTGGACAGCAGGTTCTTGTGCATTGGGTGCCATGTCATGGACATGATGTCCTTGTCATGTCCTTTTAGCAAGAGAACGTCGCGCATCATGCGGAGGTCAAAGATGCGAGCGATGTGATCACGGGCGCATGTTGCTAGCAGGTGTCCTTGGGTAGGCTCGAACATGGTCTTTGCTATTGGGTTTTTATGTCCATGAAGCGTTGTGAGACAGCGACCTGTCCGCGGATCCCAGAACTTGACCTGGTGATCCTTTGACCCTGATACTAGCAGCCCCTTGTGCGGATGCCAGTCCACGCACTTGACCTCCCAGCCGTGACCCGTCAGCGTCGACTCCTCCGTGCTGGACGCAAAGTCCCAGATCTTCAGTGTTGTGTCGTCGGCACACGTGACGAACTTGGAGTCTGTCGGTGCAATGGCCAGCCCCCGCACTGCCTCTGTGTGCGCCTGGATCTCCTTGACGTTGTTGAAGTTTGTCTGCCAGTACTTGACTATGCCCGTCTGGTCAGCTGACAGCAGCCAGTCGTCGGTGTGTGTGTATTCGACGCAGCGGATGGCAGCCTCATGGGCCTGCATGATGGTCTCGAAGTTGAAGCCCATTCCGTTCCACAGCGTGAACTCTCCACTTGTAGAGCCCGTGAGCAGTCGTCGGCCCTCTGGCGTCCATTTCACTACATTGATGGGGTGTTTGACTTTGTTGAGAGAAGAATGCACGGCTTTGGCAGGAATTGATTCGGCAGCGCTGGAGACTCGAGCTGCTGGGGGTGTCATGTCCACGACATAGCTGGGGGTTGGCCGCTCGACCTCAGCCATGGGCACATTCTTGTAGCGCGGTCGCCGGTTGCGCATCCATTGCACCGTGGTCGCGCCATAATCAGTCACCGCTCCTATGTGCAGCGGGTTAGCTCCAGCTTTGTAGACTATGCGCGTCGCCCACTCTTGTCTTGGAGTATACAAAACATTCTAGCGTGTAGCCGGAGGGGGGAAGGTGGTAACAGTTCTCCCGAATTGACTTTCTTAACTTTGCTTGTGCGCATAGTGCGCCGATGTGTAGGCATCGTGACAACAAATAAAAGAGTACATACGCTTAGGTCGCGGTCGAGGGCCGTCCTCGAACTGGCGAGGGTGATATTCGCGTTCCATGGCGGAAGGCGCCTGCTTCACGTGACCTTTATGGTTTGGTCATAGAAAGGGCGTAGAGGCTGTTCAATGTTGTTGTGTGAGGGTTCAGGTCGAGGTCGAGTTGGAAGCTCCATGTATGCGCCGACGCGACAAAGGGAAGCATGTTGGGCTTGGCGCTCAGCCACAGCTTCACGAGCCACAACGGCGGCGGTAGTTTGTCTGGTCCCCGTCTTTGTCCATGGATGCCGCCTGCGCTCACCTGCATAAACTCGCGCTGGGGGGGCAATTCAACAGAACTGCCTTTCCGCCATATCTTCGTCCCAACCGCAGCCACACACACGCCATGGGACGCTTGATGTTGCTCCTCTTTCGCCCAGAGCTGCTGGCCAAGTAGCTGTTTCCGTCCCACTGCCGCTTCCGTGCGTCATTCCACATCCCCTGCCCAAATAAGTACACAGCACTTCAGGAAGGACCGCCCGCGACGGAAGGCACGAATTGAGCCGCACAATCCCCTCTCCGCAGCCATGGCGACGTCAACCTCGACAATGACCAACCCCACCATCGCTACCGCCATTGACATGCCTCCGCGACCTGTCAACCGCAGGGGAACTGGTACGCAGGCGAGCCAACCGAGCACCAGCGGCACCACCAACGGCACCACCAATGGCACTATCCAAAACACTCGCAACCCCCCTCGTGATACAAAGTACCGCCATGTCTTTGCAACCCACTCGCTCCGACGGACCTCATGTCTCAGCTCCGACTCGGAGAGCTCGCCGAGTTTTAAGGGATTCCGCAATCTGATGATCCTCGTACTGCGTATGCATTTCCGAAATCAACAACACTCCGTCAAAACTGACATGCAACAGTCGTCTCCAACCTGCGATTGATGATAGTAAATCTGCAAAAGGTACGCTCAAGTCCATCTTCATTACAACACACAGCTAATTGCTGCAGTATGGCGTCTTGATCTGCATCAGCTGTCACGACTACCGACGCTCCGACATTGTCACCGGCCTGCTCCTCTACCTGCTCGTTCCCGCACACTTGTTCGTTACCTACCTCATCGAGCTTGTTGCATCATGGCAGGCGAAACGCGCATACGCCCGCATCTCTAAGGAGGACGACGACGACACCCCCGAGAGGTATGCCGCCGCACTGAAGAGCTTCAACTCGATATGGTACATTGTAGCCTTCTGCCACAGTATCAATGCTACCATGAACCTGTACATTGCGACCAAGTTTGTCTACTACGACATCTACCACCCTGGCATCGGCACAATGTGCGAGCTTCATGCCATCATTGTCTTCCTCAAATGTGCTTCGTATGCCTTCACGAACCGCGATCTGCGTCACGCATACCTCCATCCAAGACAGGCCGATCCGCTTCCCGAGCTGTACAAGAGCTGCCCGTATCCGCAGAACATCAACTTCAAGAATCTGTGCTACTTTTGGTGGGCCCCAACGCTCGTTTACCAGCCTGTCTACCCCCGCACCGATAAGATCCGTTGGGGCTTCGTCTTCAAGCGCCTCTTTGAACTCGCCGGCCTTAGTATCGTCGTCTGGATCGCATCCGCGCAATACGCCGCCCCTCTGCTGCAAAATTCGCTCGACAAGATCCTCACACTCAACTTCACCTCCATCGCCGAACGCACCATGAAGCTCTCCACCATCTCTGTCTTCTGCTGGCTCTGCGGCTTCTTCGCCCTCTTTCAATCGGCCCTCAACGCACTCGCAGAAATCATGAGGTTTGGCGACCGCGAGTTCTACGGCGACTGGTGGAACGTCAGCTCTATCCGCGCCTACTGGACCACATGGAATAAGCCCGTGACAAACTTCATGCGTCGCCACATCTACTCCCCGCTCGTCGGCCGCGGCTGCCCCCCTGCCCTTGCGCAAATCATCGTCTTCTTCTTCTCCGGCATCCTGCACGAACTCCTCGTCGGCGTGCCCACGCACAACATCATCGGCGTCGCCTTCGCCGGCATGATGATTCAAATCCCACTCGTCGCGCTCACCGACGCGGTCCGCAAGATCAAGTGGATCCAGGGCGAAGTCGCAGGCAACATGATTTTCTGGATGAGCTTCTGTCTTGTAGGGCAGCCGCTGGCTGCGCTGCTTTACTTCTTCGCGTGGCAGGCCAAGTATGGGAGTGTGAGCCGGCAGTTCAATCAGGAGCCGAGTGCGCTGAGCATGTTATTGAAACGATAGTATTGTGGCGAGACGGTGGCGAGTTTTTTCTTTATTATGACAGGCGCGGGGTGTCCGATGAAGTGGGATTGGGACTGGATTTGGAATGTGCTGGAGTGTGTTGTTGTGGATGAGGAGGTCTGATTCCGATATTCGTTCTATTTTTCACGAAGAATGTAGTAGACTCCAGCACACAAGTGGTATATCAATCTGATCATCTTTACTCGTTCCAGAAGCTGTTCAATGCAAGATTCTCACGAGCCATCCCTTTGTCTCCTACCATCTCTAACAACCTGAATCGATCTCATTTACCCCACACGTTATATTCAACTCCCCGCCCTCACAACTCTCCAATCCTGCGCAAAGAACTTCCAACATCTCCCAGCATCCGCACAACCCCCCTCTCCAACACCCCCTCTACCCTCTCAACCAACAACCCATGCCCCTCCCCTGCTTCCAACGCATCCGCAAACCGCCTCAATCCCACCATGACTTCCGCGCCCAGCACCACTTCCGCCGCGCAAATCACCCGCACCACGAGCGCAAACACATCGGGCTTACTGCTCCATCCCAGCGCGCCATCTTTTTCCTGCCGCGCTGTTTGCGTGAGGAGGGCCAGAGCAGCGAGGGTGTAAGTCTGGATTTGACGGTACGTGGACGCGGGGACGTTGGAGTGCATGAGTATGCGCGAGTATAAAACGTAATCCAGCGCAGGGTCCAAGTAGAGGTTTTGTTTCTCCTGCACGAACAGCGCGGTGTTTTCCGTCCTCGCGCTGTCTAGTTCCTGTGCGAAGGGGATTGAGGGGTCGATGAGGCGGCGCGAGATTTCCCGCACGAGGGTGAGTGAGGTGGCGAATTTCTGGGCGAGGAAGGCAGCCAGGTGGTGGGATGAGAGGAGGGGAACTGTGTGGTTCGTATTTGGGTGGGATTGGGAGTGGAGCAGGGTGGATGTTGTGCGTGCGGCGAGGGTGCGGATTTCGTCGTCGTCGTCGTCGTTTAGGAGGGTGTGGAGGATGAGGGATAGGGCGAGGATGAGTGGGCCATCGGCGTGCCAGATAGACGAGAGTGCGGATAGCGACTGTGCGGCGGCGAGGCGCATGTCGAAGGGATTTGTGTCGGTGATGGTCATGCGCAGGATGCGGATGTAGCGGGCAATTGCCTTCAGTATGCTGGGGCGCTGGGATGGATAGTTTGCGTAGGCATGGTCGAGGAAGAAGCCGAGGAGGTGTAAGCCGCTTTGGGTGTTTGAGGGTGGTCCATAGAGGCATTGGTGCTCGAGTTTTGTGAGGGTGAGGAGGACTTGGTCTTCTGAGACGAGAGCGAAGAAGCTTGTCTTATAGGTACCGATCGTGAGACTGTTGGCAAGGACGTCTTGGGCTTTTGAAATGACTTCTGCGTCTCTGGCGGATAGCAGCACGCTGTAGACGTGTGCTAGTACTAAGTCGAGTGGTATAGTGATGCCGTTCGTTGGCTGAAGCTTTAGTATCTGGTCAAGCGTTTCCAATACCATGCAACAAGTGTCTTGATCTTTATTCGCAAGTAGAACCAAGGCTGCATCCATGCCCTGGTAGTCCTCCGATGTCATGACCGCAAGACTGTTTTCGCGAAGAATGGTGCGATCGATGAAGAACGTTTGTGCCAAGGACTGTCTTAGCAAGTCATCTCCTGCTGCTGCACTCACACCAAGATTGTATTGGGGACCCATCGATGCTGCGCTTGTTAAAGATTCCCAGGCAGGTAGTACTAATATCGAGTCGGGCCTACGAGCCAGTGCCATGCCACAGAGGCTGACCACATCGAGGAAAGCGGCCCTGGTGAAAGGGCAATGACTGGAAATGTACCATTCCTCGGGGGGCTGGCCTAGCTTTTGCATCAGATGGCTGAAGTCCTCTTGGTCTGCAAACATGGTTAGGTGCTGCGACTAATCGAATGCCGTAAACAACTTACTCAAAGCATCAGGACTTTGCAGCAGCTTTCTGACCATGTATTTGACAGCAAGGAGTGTTCCATGTCGGACATTGTGGGACTCAGTTCTCTTTGAAAGAAGTGCAAAAGTAGCATCGTACAACTGGTGCACCGGTCGCAGCGAGACTACAGTGCGCGCTGCCATATCACGAAGATGCCAATGCGGGCTTGCCAAGAGCCTCTCCACTGAAGCCACAATGGCGTCGAGGTGAGTTTCTGGAGGTCGTGCTTGTCGCAGGATTTGCAACGCAGGAAACACTCCTTCCCCGCCATGAAGATCAAGCGGTGAGCCACTGGCAGGCGCACTCTCGATGGACTGCTTCAGTGGGCCTTCGGGATTGAGGAGATCGGTGAGGATAGCGACAAGACTAGGGTAGTCATCATATGAGAATCGCGAGGTCCTTGCACGTTCTAACTCCTTCCAGTCCTGGGCTTCGCTGCTACCAAGCAGTCGCTCGATCAGCGCTTTGAAGAGCATGAGACTACAATTGCGAATAGGCCATCTGTACAGAATCAGCATTAAATGTAAAGAAAAGTGCTCTGGCGTACTTACATGTTCGAATTCAGTGTCTTTGCAGCAAGTTCGAGCCCTTGGCCCATGTAAGCTTCAGACGCCACGTTGAGCCTTGAAGTCGTGAAGAACTCTTTGATGCAGTTGAGCGCATGCACTTGGGGTAGCCGACTCTCTTCGATATTTGTGCTCTGAGCTTCGGTGGAAGCTTCAGATATCAAGTCGCTCATGGCGCGTGGAAAGAGCTTGTTTGAGTCTGCGGCCGTGATGCTTGCCATGAGCGCGGGGATACCGGCAGATCTACGTGTGATGGCGCCAGCTTTGTCTTGGATTGATAGTAGCGTTTCCTTTACCCATTAGCCTACTTCAACACATGATGTACATGAACATACCTGGTACCATGTCTCAGGTAGTGCACGGAGTGCTGGAATATTTGACGACACACAGCGCCTACAGAAGGCTGCAAAGGTTTGCGAAACAGTGGAGAAAGCACCACGATGACGAAGCCCAAGAAGCTGCGTGAAGCAGAGCTGACCTAGTCTCTCGAAAAGAGCAGGAGATATGAGCGCCCGTTCATCGTCACCGATTGGAGCCTTCGCAATCATAACACGAAGCAATACACTTGAACCGTTAGTGACTATTCGTTGGAGTAAGCACCGTAGACGTACCTAGCTTCTTTCACACCTCGCCAAGAGTAGCTGAGGATTTCCTTCGTGTCGAGGCTTGCTTCCTCCTCCATTTCGTCAGGAACGAGGCCTTCAGGCGCATCTGCGCAAAGGATGTGTTGGACGGAGTTCCAGAAGTCAGCAACAGACTCCAAAAGCTCGTCATGTGCTTGCTTCCATTGATCAAAATCCCCCATCGGTGCTTTTGACATGAGGTTATAGAATGATTCTTGGTCAATGATATACCTGGTGTTCATGAGCGATGAGGAAACTATTGGGAACTCTGCGCTTACCTCAGAGCGGCAAAAGTTCCGTGCACAGGTTTCCCGTTGACTGCTTCCGTGAGATTTTGTGCAGCAAATACAAGTGTGCCCCGCAATGTCTGCTTCAAGTGCACGAACAGGTCGAGACTCGACGAAAAGTTAGTCGGATTCTTCGGTCCAGGATAGTTGTCCAGCAACAAATACAGCAGCGAATACGCTCGAGCCACACCATCAGCCTGGTCAGCGCGCCCAGTACGAAGCTGCATACTTTCAGCACGCTCCAAAAAGCGATGGATGGTACCCAGAACAACATCCTGTCCGGCGATCGGTTGAGCTAGGAGGCATAGTTGCAGCACTGAAACAGCTGAGTTGCGGATATCATCGAATGGATCTAATATGAGGTCCATCAAGACACGCGTCAAGGTTGGATTTGCGATCTGCACACCGTGTGCCCAGTTCAGTTGTCCCTGAGCGGACTTGGACAAATGCGAGGTTGGCACACCAGGGTCAATACCAGACCTCAGCACAATTGTCAGCGACTGTAATGCCGTAATTCGCCGCTGATATGACGCGGTGGGTCGTAGTTCCCATTGTAAAAAGCGAATGTACCAGACAATAAATGCCAGAGTCTCGAGCAAAAGATCTTGCTGCAAGGCCCGCGACGACGAAACGTCGTAACGATAGCATGGCCTGGGTATTGGTAACCTTTGGCTGCAAGACGTATTCGAATTTGTGGCCACTTTCGCAAGCGTGGCAGTACTAGCCCTCAATCGGTCGAACAGCTTTTGAGTATATCCGTTAACATCACGCCGAAAGTATGCGTCGGTATCCGTGTGTAGGTGAACAAGATTCCGCTTGAGAAACTTGAGGGTGCCGCTGGTCATGGGCCGTGTAATGGAGGTCGAGTGGATAGACAAGAACATTCCTGCAAGTCTGACTTCAGGATCCGGGTGAGACATCCATGTTCCGAATATGTTGTCGGGTATGTGGATTGCGCCATCGTGAACCTTGATGATATTGCATATCCTCGAATCTGTTCCAGTGTGAGCACTTAGAATGTGGGAAAGGGATGTCAACAACTGACCTGTATCGCGTATCAACGACAGCTCTTTGCCGGCCTCTATGGCTGCTATCAGGATTTTGAACTCGTCCGATTCTTCCATGCCATGTCTGTTATCCTCGTACAAGCGTAAGTCACCTGGTATGGCACCACTAGAATGCACATGAACGCTGAAGTGCAAGTAAGACAGAAACCTCAAGTACTCCTGAACGTTTGGTAAAAAGCAATATGGAAATACATGAGTTTTGAACTCCTGCATGCGATCCGGCCACTCTTGTAAAGTGGATACCACAGGCTCTATCCACAAGGGAGACAAGGTATCGTTTTGTGTTGTGGATAGATAGTCTAGAGACTTGCGAGCTTGGATGAGGAAGTTCTTTATCAGATGTCCTGCCGAAAGAGATGTGTCATGATGCACGATCCACGCGAGAAAGGCGCTGAATAGTGCTTGTAGAGACGCTGGGATTGAGGCTTCCGTAAGCCGCGCAAGTAATCGCTGATGAAGCTCGAGAAGCTGGGAGATGGATACCACATCGCGAAGCAGAAAATGCGCCAATCCCTGCAGCGCTGGCTTAACCTTCAGGCGATCTTGTCGGCCACATATGATATCCAAGAAGGTTGTAGTAGCTTGCCTTCGAAGCTCGAGAGCACGTGGACTTTCGTCTTTCGTGATAACGCTCGTCAAGACCAGTAAGATCTGCCTCATGGACTTTCCTTTGGCGTTTTCAGATCTCTGTAGATAGATATCGAAAACGCGGACCCATATAGAATCACCAATGATTTCCTTCCGAGCGTGTTCGGAACTCGAGGCCTGACAACACTCTATGATCGCGCATAATGCATTGGAAGCAGCTGCGCGGTGACCTGGACTAAGTTCGGGCAAGTCTGCAGTCTCTATGATCGGGCCGACAAGTTCATGAAGCTCTCTGACTAGAAGTCAGCACTATCCATCTTGCCAACTCGAAATCACGGACATTGCGTCCTTACTTCACTCCAATGGCTGGATCGATCTCCGCGAATAGCGGAAGGAATTTGGATACATTTTTGGCCAAGTCTCGCAACGTTTTCTCGGTTGTCGGAATACCGAGCTCTGAGACATGTGAGGTCATTGTCCAGTATCAAAGACAATTCGTTGCGCCGAATCAAAGATTGGAGAGTTTCGTGGATGGGAACATTTTGGGCAGGCGGACGGTGGGGGTCAACGCTAGTGTGCTTACTAAGCTGCAAAAATCGATTCGCCTTTTTCGATCGCATCTCGTCATGGCTGTGTTGATCACATGTAAGAAGACGCCGGGTGGATATATTCAGCGAGTATCATCCAGTACGACTTCGCTATAACGCTGCTTGGACAATGCGCCGATTCACCTCTCGGCGCTGAAGAATGTCCTCAGGTCGAATCGTTATGGCAGTAGGCCTACGCCCCTTTAAACGTCCTCCGCTCGAACTTTAGAAAACCAACCTTAGCTTTCTTGATAAGGCGGACCCGTAATCCATAAAGCATAGCTGGTCGGCACGAATAAGATGGCCTCTGAACAGCACCACCAGTCGACCGACGTGTGAATTGAAGCGTTTGCGTGTCATGCAGAGAACACCAACGCCAAACGCCGCCAACACGTGCGATTTAGATGTTCCATGAACATGGTCCTATCGTACGAAGATTAATAGGCTATGCGGTGGGTGAGCCTTGAATTTTCGATGTTTATCGGCCGAATCTTCAGTCTGATAGGAGCATCTCCGTGTCAAAGGCGCCTCAGTTCGTTGAGCGGACCTCGAGCCCGCAGAGCGTTTGTCTCTCTCAACCACGAGCACTCCTCACAGTCGTCTAGGATTATAAATCTTCCGGTAGTGCTTTGACAGTGCGAAGCCCGCTCCCGCCTTGTGTACATCGCTCATTTGATCAAGTGTCACAGGCTAGTATTCTGAACATGTCTGATAACATAGCAACTGGAGACAGCTCCAATCAGAATGGTAGGCCCTCGCTCTTCTTTACTCCACCACCTGAAGAAAGACACGTTTGCGCCGATGTCTCCATTGCGGGGGAGATATGTACAACACGCGTTCCCAATTTGCGAGAAGCACCGCCTCCGGCCCTTACCGAAAGCCGTTTGACTTCTACGACATGTGTTGCGGAAGCCGCCCAGCAAACGTTGGCGGTAGAACTTCTCCGACAGCTCAAGCTATCAAAGAAGTCACCGCGAAAGCAATCCCGGAAGCATTCCTTCGCTACAGTGCCCGATCCGGAGACTCATTTGAACCCTGGACCTGGGGGGCGAGAGTTGATGTATCCTCGCGGCTTACGCAGTGTAGATCCTAGGATGAGGGCCTCCGGTGGGTCTATCACCACGTCCGTCGCTTCGAATAAAGGTCAAAGTGGCTTACTACGCTCTCACCTGCTAGATAGTAAGATAGCCAAGTCTCGTGCAGCCGCCTCCAGCCTTGGAGAATCTCAGAGGCCTTCCGGGACACTTCGTGTCAGCAAGCCAACCCAACCCCATGGTGTTCTAGGAAGATTTATAGGCTATCCTAGCAGCGACGAAGAAGACGAGGGTAAAAGATTCGAAGCAGGGCGAAAGACAACTACACATCAACAAACTCTGGCCAGCAACAAGTCTCGCAAGAATAAAAAAGCCCGCCAACCCAAGTCCGCCGAGCTCGTGGTGAGTGACACCGATAGCGTTAGTGAGTCTGAGGCTTGCGGCGCGACAGCTCCACGTCTTCTTCAAAAGGAATACGTCGGTTTACAATCGTCCACCCATCGTCCAATATCCTCAGTCCAAAGAAAGAAAGCCGAGCAGGGCAGAGTGCCGCGGTTCCAGAGGAAAGTACTCGGAGACAGTACCCCTGCAACCATCAAATCGAAGGCCCCAATCGTTGCGTCAGCATACAAGCGGAAGCCTACTGCCATGAACGATCAGGCGATGCGTGGAAGAGGGAAAGAAGTCGCCGAAAAGCCTGCCAGATCAGTGATGGTGAAAAAGCAACGGGTACGGAATGGGCCTTTTGTCGTCGATTCTGAAACGGAAAGCGATGGTGGCAGCGACTCTGGGAGCGAGAACAGTATCGGTGTCGAGGCAGAACAGAGAGGACTTGAGGAGGATGAAGACGATGATGACAACTGGGACGCTATACCGCCAATCAAACCTCCTGAGCGAATGTCTTTGGCCAAGCGTAACGCAGTTTGGACGGCATCCCAAGCACATGCTCAGCAATCATCCTTGATGAGGCCTAAAGCAGCCTCGGCGCCCTCTTCGCAACGGACGCCAGCATTCGACAAGGCCAAGCTAAAGGCCATGCTCTTAGCCAACAAGAAGAATCAGCCCAAATTCCACGCCTCTCCTGGAGAATCCAGCAAAGGGCAAGCAACATCGATTGCTACGAAGATACCAGCAAAGACTGATCGAGACTCACTCAAATCGAAATCTGATGCTCAGCCAGTAAATCGGAACCATGCTGCGCTTCCCTCTCTTGCATGTTCAAAACTACAATCTGCCCCACAAGCTGCACCTCGTACATCGCTAAGTGGCCATACCAGTGGATTTGATCTGCAGTCTTCTGCGAGCACCAAGCCAGCCTCGAGGTCTGCAAGACCCGCTGAAGCTTCCCTGAACAAGGCATCCACCTCTGGTCGCGAATCCGGGTCGACCCAGAATCTCTCGAAGCAGCATATCGACAGCAAGCATAATGTGGGAACTTCAGGCGCAAAGCAGCTGCCCAAGTGCAGTAATCAAGGAGCCGAAACTGTTCGCAAGCAGAACAATATACAAGGGGCGGGAACTGTGGGCCTCGTTGGTAGTCTCATACAGGGCATCAGGGAGATCGAAAATCCGCTTGATGGGACCTTGAAGAATACGGCGGTCTCGGCGTTCGAGTCACACCCACCAATCTCAACAACGATAGCGAAACGCGGAATCGTTCAAAAACCTTCCAAAAGAATTCAGAGGTCACATCCCGCCATGGGGACCCGTAATGACGGAGTGACAAGGGCAAAGACGATGGCCGCACCTCAAAGCTCAGGGTCGTCAACCAACCGTCGTGTTGGTGCTGTTGCACGGCAGAATAAAATCACCCAGAGTCACAACCCGGGAGCTGATTTAAGCGGTCGTACAGAATTTATTCAGGCTCATAGTGTTGGTGTGGCATGTTCAAACCCTCGGGCATCCCCGAACATTGTTCCTACTTTGAAGAGGAAGGCTGCAGCAGTCGGAAGTAGCTCATCCCTCAGAAATGCCGTTGCACAAGAAGCCGAACAGGACCCGTTGAGGAGTCATCATTCACGCCGTCACCAATCGTGGAGCCTCGAACAAGCATGGTTATGGGAGGAGTGAATGTGTTGTCCTCCACGAAGAGGGCATTGGGTACTTCAGCTCGTAAGCCTCCGGCAACTGCGCCGTTGCCTGCGAATACTGAGCCGAACTTGCAAGGCCCGGCTCCAAAGAACTCAGTATACACAACTCTTCAGAAGCCACCGAAAGCTATCAGCAACGACCATGAGACTCAAACAGTGATTCCGAAGACTGGCCTGTCCCCAACGAGACCAAAGGCTATTGATTCCATACAGAGCCAGACAGCAGTCGAAGGTAAAGCTCAGATGTCGAAACTGAAGACGGTCGCTGCACCAAAGGCATCAGCGTCGGTCGTGGTTCCTTCAAGATCGAACACCGTCCTTGCGACACCAGAAGCCAAGAACGCGGCAGACAGGAAGTCTAAGCAACATCCAAATAGCGTTCTTGAAAAGTCATTTCATGATAGCATGGGCGATGTGCGCCCGGAAACGTCCGCTACCGAAATGCAGAGGACAGTTCGAAGACTGCCAGGTAATCTGGACAAGCCAGGACATCTCACGGAGCGTGGGAGTACTGTCGCCTCAGTTGTACAACCTTTGGCCAACGACTCAAAAGTTATTGCGAAGGTTGCCGAGAAAGACCAACAGCATCAAACTGTTGCTTCAGCCCAGAGCTCAACATCCTTGCTGACAGACCAGCCTCTTCCGCATATTATGGCAAAGAAGGCTACCTCGACTGTCACACCGCAAAGTCAGCCGAATGAGCCAGTGATCGCTCGCGCGGTAGGTACAACCTCTATTAAAAGCGCGCCGGATGCCAATCAGTCAATCTGCAAAGGTAAGGAGAAACGCGGTGATGTGCCAGAAAGCGTTGCGCCTTCGGCTAGGCCGGGGAGCCCCGCGGAGGTCTCGATCCATCCTCCCAAAGTCGCCCAAAAGGTTCCAGTTAAAGGAAAAGTGGCGAACATGGACACGACCAGGAAGGCTGCGGAGGTCTCACATGGTCCGAACGTTGCTGATCTTCAACCTCCACTTTCGCTGCCAGGTACATCTACTTCGATTTTCAACCTGTCTTCTCTACCTGCACCTGCCTCAGATGCCGAGCCGTATTTCGAGTACTCTATCTTCAACAGAATCTGGTCAGCCGGTGGAGATGAATCCTCCATCAATGCCACCGAGCTGACTTCAACTCCTTGCACGAACATCAACGAGGCAAACACCCACGTTGAAACACTGTTCAGCAATGCACGAGAGCAGTACCAGCAACACTTCTCAGTCCATTTCAGCGAGTGGACAAATAAGCCAGACGCTCATGGATGCAGCGTGTTCATCGGCACCTTTGCGTCCATCGAGTACCCAAGCAAGAAGAGCTGCATGAAGTTCTGGGTCGAGCGACACACCGTATCTGCCGAAGCAGGTCGTGCCCCGAAAAATCTCAAGCACACAAGCTTCGTAGCGAAGACGGTCTATGTGCTCAGGCTATTCAGGCTGCTTCCGGCCACTACTGACTCCGATGGCGAGACTGAAGACACGACCGGCACCACCGCATCTACTAGGGTGTACCACCAGCTCCCGCGTACAGAGTGCTACACCACTCTCGACGCGGCTAATCGCGCGGCGAAGAATCTGCAGATCGAGATGAGTCACAAGCCTAACCCGACTAAATTGGATGAGGTTTTTCAGACGACAAACCTGGCAGAACTCAACCAGAAAGCCAACGACCTGCGACAGGCAAAGGACGAGGAGAGTAGGTATTGGAATAGCAAGTTTCACGGCAGTGGACTGGGTTCAGAGTTCGAACTGTTCGTTGAGAAGGCAGGTTTGTGCGGCCCGAGGAATTTGTAGATCATTGGGCATTTCGGTGGAAACGGGGATGAAGTTCAGTGGATGTTCGGCTTTGAAATTTGCGTGTGTTTTTCCTTGGCTCTCGATTTGGCATGCTTCAACTTCACCTTGGGTGAGCTCGGTTGGAAGGACCGGGCTATGTGACATGGAACATGCTTGTGTGCATTTCGTGTGATAATTCTAGACAGAATGAATGATTTGGATCAAGTTATGAAGATTGCTTTGCAAACATAGATTATCTTGATCAACCTAACTTGCAATTGAAGGAATCTGGCATGAGACATTTCACTCATTGAAAAGCAAAAAGGTGCAACAGTGCTACAGTTTATACCCGAAGCAGAACACCTAGAGCGGGAAAAAAGCGCAAAAAAGATGAATCCAATAGCTGATGCTCGTTCTGGAGATTTGTTAGTACAACGACTCGAACACTGGTACAGTGATGGTACTAACTCGATCGAGCGTCCTCCGGGTTATGAGCCCGGCGCGCTTCCGCTGCGCCAATCAGCTTTGATTGGTTGATTATGGGGAGGAGGACAACTAGCAAGTATACATACTGCACGTTCTTGAGGCAGCTAGCAGGATATTTGACATTAGCATTGCAGAGAAGACAATGGTGCACCCGTACTACAGTGGATCTCTCAAAAAATCTCTTCCATGCTATGACTCACACCAGCAAAAAACTAAAGTGGATATCATATGCCCAACCCAACCACCAACACCAAAACCAAAGCTCAAACCCAAACCATGCTAGTGAAATGCTTCCATCCAAATCGCAACCTCTTCACCGCGTAAACGCATGTTCACTATCATCCCCCAGCCCCCTAAACGCAATGCGCCCATTACTCCTCAACACCTCACACACCGTCTCCGGACTCAATTCATACCCGCTTTTCTTCCACCTCGCATTCAGCCAATCCGCCAACGCATCCGCCGAGCAGCTAAATCTTCTTGTGTCCCACTCATGCAAGATAAGATCGATGATGGGCTGATCAGGCAGCATTTCCGGGTGCGCGTCTTGCAGCGGTACGGAACTGAGCGGCAGCGGTAATGCGCGCGGCGGGAAGATATTTTCGTATGCGGTGAGGAAGTGCAGGAGTGTGTGTTCGGTGTGTGGGCGCGAGGCGAGGGTGAGGCCGAAGGGTTGGCCGTTGAGTTTGAGCGCGGAGAGGGGACACGCCGCGGTTGGGTAGCCGGCGGCGGCGGCGATGGAGGAGAGGGGCGCATCGCCTGGGGCGATTACGATGTCGAGTTGGGAGCTGGTGAAGAGATAGTCGAGGCCGTCAGGGCCGCCGGCGATTTGTAGGTGTTGGCGGGCGGCGTTGATTTCTTCGCGTTTGGTAGGGGCTTGGAGGGCAGCCATGAGGTCATTTTGGTCGGGGCATGCTGGGGAATGTTAGTGGTTGGATGCAGAGGAAGTATGTATAAGGGCTTACATGGAGGTAAGCAAAGCTCGGGGTGTTCGAGGTTGAAGTTGATGATTTCAGCTAGGGAGTGCATCTTGGTTGTTTTGAAGTCTCGGATGAACTCTGTCAAGCAATCCTTGAACTCAGAATCTGTATTGATATTAGCAGGTAACTATCATGTCAGGATGGTAGCACTCACAAACGACAGGCTCGAAACAATTCTTCCCATCAATGGTAAGGCTAGACTGGCTCGGCAACTCGACAGGGTATACGATATCAACCCCCATCTCGATCATGCTTTGCACGACCATATCGTACTTTTGCAGCTAGACTTGGTCAGCACGACTTCGAACACTACATGGACCCATGTACAGTCAGATGAGCTGAGCCCCCACGACGCGCTGACATAGGGCAACGATCAGCTGACGGCACGGGACGAGACAACCTACCATAAACCGCTCTGCATCAGCGTTGATTCGACCACTTTTGCGCCATGTCTTCCAGATGGTGGGCTCAACAAAACCGATCCTGAGTTTGCCGAAATTCGATTTTATCTTGAATGATCTGTGCGGTGCCACCTCGTCAGACTCTCTGCTGGTGGGAACCATCATGGCGTCCATTAGCGCTACAAGGTCTTTTGCGGATTTCGCCTGTGATTCAAATTTAGCATGCAGGTCTTGCTGCCTCTGAATTTACGTACCATGCCGCCCACTGCATCAAAGGTCTTGCTGAGGTTGAAAATGCCGTCCATTGGTACTTGACCGACTGTAGGCTTCAGTGCGTAGAGAGCAGCGCGATTCGCAGGCGTAATGAGTGATCCGATCGTATCTGTGCCAATCGCAAGCGTGCTGAAGCCTGAAGCTACGGCAACAGCGGACCCAGTAGACGAGCCTCCCGGTGCAGAAAGCTCCCAATGCAGTTTTCTCTTTGCAATGTGTCGTGAAACATATGGTGATTGGCACTGGCCGCCTACAGCTGACCATCCAGGTGGCATAGAAGGATTCTTGAGACCGCAGAATTCTGTGAGGTTTGCTTTGCCAATAATGATCACTCCTCGCTTGATCAACCTGTCCACAATGGTTGCATTCTTCTTTGGTTTGCATCCAACAAAAGCGTATGAGCCTGTTCGATCGTTAACCTTGCGCAGACAGCTGGGAGCGATCGACTATCTGCGTACCTACTGTCGTATCCATGCCCAGCTGCTCTTCTGTCATAATGTTGTCTTTCACCACTATCGGTATGCCATGCAGCGGTCCTCTAACCTTTCCCCTTAACCGCTCATCATCCAACTTTTTCGCAATCTTCAGCAATTCATGTCTTGGTGCCACGGAGATCAGCGCCCGCAACTGGCGACCTCTCCGATTATGTTCATCGATTTGATGCAAATACAGCTCAACAATCTCAACACTTGATATTGCTTGTGCATTCATCAACTCTGACAGATCGAATGCGGAGACGATGAGTGGGTCGAATTCTGGTAGCATGCCCATGCCTCCTTCAGTCGACGACGTGAAGGACATCTTACGCTCAGCCTGGACTTTCTCGATGTAGCCTTTTGGTGGAGGCGACTCGACGTTTTGAGAAAGTGCCTTCCTGAAAAACTTGGAAGCCTTCCGCATGTTGCCCATCGACTCGCCACTATCTGCAGCGACTTCACGTGCTGCTCTGCCGTTCCGGTTCAAAAGCGTGGGGAAACGAGGCCGGGGTAATGCGGAGGCGGGGTTCAGCGCGTCGAACGCTTGGAGAAGCAATGATACAAAAGCAGGGGACCGTTGTTCTTGTGGTAGAGAGCTTTGTGGTGCAAGATAAATCCCAGGGCACCGAAGCAGTGCGCGACAAAGCTGGGTTGTACCAGATTAAAAGACGCCTGCCATAATAATTCCGAGGTCATTCGAGATGGGACACGAGTGGCTGCGCCGTGAGATCCCTCCTGCATGGACTCGACCGTAGGACACGCTCGTTAGAAGACGATCCCGGTTGAAATCAGTCATAATGTGTGAGAGTTACTACCTTTGGTGGGCCTCTTGCGCGCCAATTACGAGAAAGAGCCCTGTCCCTCCGCTCACGCGTCGGTCTTGATTCGTAGAGGGCCCGAAGGAGGAACCGCTGTGGTTTGCCCAGACTGGGGAGAGACAGCACTTTACCCGCAGGCAGTCCCGCACGGAGCTGTAGCCGGCTTGACAGCTCGCTTGCCGCAAGCATGTCGGGCAAACTGTGGCTTCTGACCTGCAGCTCTCCCCAATGCCTGGAAGGCGGATGGCGGGCGCTGCGTGAGAGTCACGTATCGTCCTTCAGCCATGCTGATTTCAGCTGCGAGCTCGTCCGAGATGTTGCCCAGACCATAGTGATATCGCAGCGCATGAAGCAATTTCCTTGGATGTTGCTCAAATCTTAGCATCGGGTCCTTGTTCGCGTACGGGGTCTCTTGTCCGTCCACGAGAGCTTTGCCACGACTTTAGATCAATCCTTCCAACGTGACCGACCGGGGCCCCCTTTTATGAAGCCCATCATGAGTCCACTCGTTACTCCAGGCCAATAATCATGAATCGCGACCCGGAGGCAATCTAGTGGCACAGTCAAGCCAAAACAGTCGCGTCAGCAGGTCCACAGTTTGCTGCATCTTTGTCGTCTCGCCAAAGCACCAGTCTGGTGCACTCAGATGAATGCTGCAAACCCTAGTCTAGTCTACCGCAGCGAGAAGGATCTCCGCTCCGACCTTCATCGTGTTCTATTGCGGGGGATCGGCTCTCGAAGTTCAATTCGTTCATCCCACCTCCGTTCCAGAATGATGGTATATCGAAGCTATAATAACCTCTAGGATGCTGGCCTGCGCTGCAAGCCTTCCACCTGGGGGGTTTACATACATGTGCAGGATCTAACACAGGCTATGCATGGCAGAATGTATGCGAGACGACGGTTGGCGCGAAGTTCCAGAAGCTCAACGTGCATCACGCGCTTGAGAGGGGCATGCAGGTGTTTTGCATACGCCGCGGCGCTGTAATATCGACGCCCTGTCTGCTCCGCGCTAACTACTCCACACTCTTTAATATCGCTGCCACGCTTTCATATATTGCGCCAGGATTGCACGCAATCCTCTCTGATCAAATGATGCGGGACTCCCACCAGGACTCCAGCTTCCAGCGATCCGGGCCAGGGTCGTATTAATCTGCCACTGCCGTTCGTACAGCCGATCCAGGTCTGATGTAGGGCCGTCTGTGGTGCTTGGCCTGTCGATGCGTCTGTGTTGCATGCTGACTTGGACGACATCTTTTATCGCCAGCAGTTGTGTCGTACATGGAGGCGCAGGTGTGTGATGAAGGGAACTTGAGGATGGACGTCACGACTCTAGGACGTGTCGCCACGTGGGGTAGCAACCGATCCAGTACCTGCATCATGGAGGCTTTCTAGCGGGTTTAAGTAATCATTGCAACTGAAAACATAGTGGAAACGGCTTGATACTAGTTTTGTCGATTTTGTCAACTCTACAAATGGTATCCTAATCTTTGCAATAACAACTTTGAGGACGATGCACATAGCGTGCACATCTCAGCCCTGCCTGTTACGAATATGATGCTAGAAGGTCGTAGTGGCTAGTCGGCTCGCTGCGTTCCTTGCATCAATGCGGTCCTCATCTTCCTCCAGACCCTTCTGACTTCCTGTCTTACTTACTGCGCGCTTCCTGCCATGCGTTGCTCCTTCTGCATCTTCTTCTTCGTCCTCCTCTGGCAGAGGTCCTGCGAGTGTCCCACTAAGACTCCGGTTCAGGCCATCTCCCGGCCGTCGCTGTACTCCAGACCACGCATCTCCCTTGGGCCCCTGCGAGCTTGCGAGTGAGGCGCGGCGAACCGCGGGATGTGCTTCACGTCCTAGACGCGAAAGCCCGCCCGTGTTGTCGATGGCTCGTATATCGGGTCTGACAGATTCGAGTGTCGCCAATGTGCGTCTCTCTGATTCGATCTCGCGTATAACGTACTCGCGTAGAGCCTGCTTCATATCGTGAGCAGTCCGTCCGAACCACTTCCTCTGCTCCTGGAGGAGGTTTGCCGTGACACGCTGAGCTTTTGTGGTGAGGTACTGCTCATGGCTCCTGGCTTCCTCCAGCGCAGTGATTGCCTCGTCCACCTTGTCTCGCTTTACGCTTGAGCTAGCCTTGAGCCTGTCGGCCGCTGTGAGCTTCGACTTGGTTTGGGATTGCGCCTGCAACAGCTCGCGCAGTAGGATGTGACGGTTTGTAAGGGTTTCTTTCGCGATGAAAGCGTCGCTGCTGTGGTACTGAAGAGGGTCGCCAAGAGTCGTAGCCTCAGCCGTTCCTTGGGCGGCATGGAAGTCGCCAGTCGCCTGAATGACCTTGCCGAGCTTCTTATATGCGTGCGAGAGTCCCACGTGGGTCTCCTGTACATGCAATGCTGCAAACTTAGCTCCGAGGTCTGATTCAGCGACACCGAGATCTGCGCACAATTAGCACGCTGGCTTCTTCACTTCAATTTAGGCAAAACTCACTTCTCCGTTGTTTCACAACCTTTTCCAGCTTCTGCTCTGCCTCCATGGTGCCCAGGTAGAAGGCTTTGACAATGGGACGAGCTGCAGCGAGCTCTGGAGTATCATCCGGTGGTGGCGCAAACTGCTTGATGACCTTGCGCCTCACGCCAGTAGCCGGCTGTTTCCTGCGCACGACGGGACTGTACCCGAAATCGCTCTCAACGAAGAAGACCATCTCTTCGTCCCGTATGAGTATGTCGTTGGCGCAGACAATGTTGAGCCATCGTTGCAAAGATGCCTTGAGACGCGCCTCATCTTCGTCGGTACCTGCGCCTGCGGATGTCGTCGCTGGCGGCACCGCGGGCACGATGGCTTCTGGGCATGATGAGATGAGGTGCTCGCCGAGCTTCACAAATTCGGAGTGTAATCGACGGACGTCGCGGAATTGCGTAGTACGGAACTTCGGAAGGTTGGTCTATGTAGAGTCAGCATCGAGTGTCTAATAGCAGTTGGCCCATGCTAGGCAGCACAGCTAGTGCTCTGGCTATGGTTCGAGTGTTGAGCATGTCGCGAATCTGGCGCCTGAAATTCGCTAGAACGACTCACGCCGCTGCTTGTGCACACCCCAGTTCGAACCGCGTTGGAGACCTTTAAAATGCAGCAAAGTGACGTACATAAACATCGAATCTCAGGACCGGGTCCTTCTTGCCATTCCGCTCGAGACCCGTGACCTTCGCCTGGAGCTTGTAGTGCTGCTGCTGTCTTTGGGGGCGCGTTCCATGGTATCGCTGGGGCTGCTGGCCCTGAGTAGGAGCTTGTTGCTGGGCTTGTTGTGGTTGTTGCGATTGAGGCGCATCCTGGGCAGCTACCGGCGACTGGGTTGAATGGTCTCCGTTCGAAGAGGCCGTGTTTGGGCGGTTCTGCGCATCTTGGTCGCCCATGTAGCCATACTGCTCCGAACCCTGGCCATAGGGCGACGACGCTTGTGGAGGCAGCGGGGACGAGGGGATATCGCTTGTGGGAGGTTGGCCGAAGGACTGGCGATTATGTTGCGGTGAGGAGGCCCATGGATCTCCGCCGCCGGGAAGATCCGAGTCGTGGGCAGAGTAGTCCATTGCAGCAGCGCGTGTAATTGAAGCAGAGGACACCTGCTGCTAGCTATCAAGGACGGGCGTTGCTCGGCTGGTGATGTCGACGGTAGCTTGGCGTTGGCACTAGTCAGACCTGGGCAAGGCGTGAACCGCTCGACAGGCGTCATTTTCGCCATCACGTGCCTCGCGACGTCTCTCCACCATCTTCAATTGTATCTGCACTGTCACGGGTATGCGGGTCGCATTGGTGTGGTGCGCTCGTCGGGTTGTTCGGCACAATGTGAAGACTCCACGAAGGCTGCTGTCTACTCAGACGCCACTCCAGACAGACGCATTATCAAGAGCCACGCGAAACATTGGCATTATCGCCCATATCGATGCAGGGAAGACAACGACTACGGAGCGTATGCTCTTCTATAGTGGACACACTAGACGGATTGGAGACGTCGATGAAGGGTCCACTGTGACCGACTTTCTACCAGCTGAACGCGCTCGCGGGATCACCATCCAGTCTGCTGCCATCACATTTCACTGGCCGCCATTGCCGCCAGACACACCGGCATCTACACCGTTACCTTTACTGCCAAATTCATTCGAATCTACTCTTCGATCTTCTAGTCCGCATAATGTCAATCTCATTGATACACCAGGTCACGCAGACTTCACGTTCGAGGTGCTGCGCTCACTTCGTGTACTAGACGGCGCAGTATGCATCCTTGATGGCGTAGCCGGCGTAGAGGCTCAGACAGAAAAGGTCTGGTTACAGTCTGGACAGTATAACATTCCAAGAATCATCTTCGTCAACAAGCTTGACAGAGTCGGTGCTGCCTTTTCCCGCACTGTCAAGGAGATAGGCGTAAGACTGCATGGCTGGCCCGCAGTGTGCCAAATACCATGGTGGAGAGGCGGGAACGGAGACTTCACCGGTGTTGGCGATGTAGTAAATCTCCGAGGTATGCTGTGGCAGGCTGGAGATGGAAGAGATATCAAAGCATTTAGCCTGGAAGAGCTGGAGAAAACCGACAAAACTTTTGCAAACGAGATCAAGAAAGCAAGAGTAGCCCTTGTGGAGCTTCTGAGCGAGCATGATGATGTAATGGTCGAACACTTCCTCGAGCACGACGAAGACCATCTTGCTATCTCCGGAGTTCAGATCATGCATTCGCTGCGTCGAGTGGTGTTACAAGCACCGCAAAACGTCATCCCCGTCTTTGCAGGTGCAAGCTTCCGAAATATTGGCGTACAGCCGCTCCTGGATGCAGTAGTTGATCTCTTACCGTCTGCTCTAGAACGACCGGATCCAGAGATCAGTGTTGCGAATCAAAGCAGCACACTTGCTGTGCTCTTGAGCTCTGGAGCAGCTGCAAAGACTAGTAAACCAACTCGCAAGCAGGATAAACCATCCTCAAAAGGCATCGCCATCGCCGAGGTCAAGAATCTGCAGGCTTGTGCTCTAGCCTTCAAAGTCGTCAATGACGTGAAACGTGGTGTACTGGTCTATGTTCGTGTGTACTCGGGATCCATCGACAAGGGTTCAACACTGTACAACACCAATCTCCACGTTGCAGAACGCGCCCCTCGCCTGCTGAAGATGATGGCCAACGATGCGGTCGAAGTTGATAGTGTCGCGGCAGGTCAGATTGGCGTGATCACAGGTCTGAAGCATGCGCGAACAGGCGATACACTGCTAGTCTACCGCGGTCTACAGATGAAAGGGGCACCACCTGGCGGGCTTGACACGCTTCAGTTGCGACCAATCAATGTTCCACCTCCCGTTTTCTTTACCAGTATCGAACCGCACAGCCTGAGCGAGCAGAAACACGTCCAAGAAAGCTTGGCTGTCCTGCTTCGTGAAGATCCTAGTCTGCATCTCTCTGTCGACGAAGAATCTGGACAGACACATCTAGCAGGCATGGGTGACTTGCATCTTGAGATTGCACGAGATCGTTTACTCAATGACTTCAAGGCAAAGGCTCGCATCGGCAAGATCGAGATCGGGTACCGTGAAGCCATCACCACTGCAGCACCGTCATACACACACAACCTCGACAAACCAATTGCAGGAAAGACCGCAAAAGCAACCATAGTAGCATCTACCGAACCAATCGACGAGAGCGCCATCGTTCCCGGGATGCAAGAACAAGTCGAGATCGAAGATGAAGACGGCACTTTCGAAACAACATACAAACTGCCCGACAACAACACTCTCCACATCTCGCACCCCAACCTCTCTCGCCACGACTCCGCAAGCCATAAAGCCAACATACCACCCCACCTCTCCCTCCCAGGCATCCTCCACTCCATCCAAGCCGGCGCCTCCGCCGCCCTCGCCCGCGGCCCCTTCAACGGCTTCCCCGTTGCCAACACGCGCATCCACATCGACCTGGACGCCCAAACCCACCTGTTCCCCGAGACATCGCTAACCGCGATATCAATGGCTACACGCGCGGCTGTCAACCAGAACCTCCGCACCGCATGCGCCGCGGCGCCCGCAGCTCTCCTCGAGCCCGTGATGATGGTAACCGTCTACGTCAACGAATCCTCTCTCGGCGCCGTAGTCCAAGATCTCTCGTCCTCGCGTGGCGGCCAGGTTTTATCACTCGATAGCGCCGACTCTGCCGCCACATCTGGTGCGGATGATAAATTGATCATCGATCCGAATCTGATATACACGCCGCCTGACCCCTTCGCGTCTGGCACAGGCGATATGGGCTCTAGTCTCGCGGACAGCCAGAGGCAGATTGTGGCGAGGGTGCCGTTGAAGGAGATGGTGGGGTATCTGAATCATCTCAGGGCGTTGACGGGTGGGAGGGGCACGTTTGTCATGGGTGTGGATGGGTTTGAGAAGATGGGGAGTCAGCGGCAGAAGGAGGTTTTGGATAGCATGCGAGAGTTTTGAGGGTAGGAGTGGTTGGACGTGTAAGATAGGAGAATTTGAGGGTGTAGTGTTGATGTATGATTGCTCGCTCTTCTATTGTACGGTACGCCTTGTATTGCTTCGGTGTTGTGTGTCCAAGTTGGTGCACTGTATTGCTTCACCGGCTCGAGAGTAAATAGGAAGAATGACCCAAAACTGGGTCAGGACAATAAGGCCTAGCTCCATCATCTCGTATTCCGGCTAGCCTATGCGCATCGAGTCGTCCCTTGCAAAGAGAAAGATCCATCTTTTGATCCAAGTAGGTAGAGTCGCAAGTACAAACATGGATTTGTTGTGTACTCCTCCTATCCAGGTATATGTGCGAGGCAGCGGGTGAAGAGGACTGCTTGTGCGCAATCCCCTCGATCGTAGCGCCGATAAGGTGCGCATCCAAAATTGAAGGAGGAAGCGGTCCTGTGGTACAGCCTACTTGAAGTTCAGAACCTTCAATGCGGGCCTGCGCAGCGGATGTGCTTCAGTATTACTGCACTCGATTAGCTCCCACAGCCTACCACATCATGTTCAACAACAGCACGTCACAAAACATAGTCATCCAAACTGACCAATCTCGGCTCACTGAAGATGAGATAAAAGTACTTCAACGTCTCCGCCATCCAGAGACTTTCGCACTCGTCCAGCTTCTCCGTCGTCTTGCCTTCCGGTATCGTGACGTCCGCGATGGCCGAGTGCGCGTACTCGGCATACGTCGCGTTGTTGACGGCTTCAAACATGCGCCACGCTGCGTCTTGAAGCGTGGGATCGCCTGTGATGCGGTAGAGGATGAAGACTGATTCGATAGCCTCGGGTCTGAAGAACGGCATGTCAGTAAGCTTTCAAAATACTCCATGACGGAAAAGTAGGTTACCTCAACAAAAAGCGTGGATCCTCAATGCTCGTAAACCCCGGCTGCAATCCCGCCGACTCAATCAGTTCCCTCACATCCGATCCTTCAACGTACTCAATCGACGAACTCTTCTTCAACACCTCGTGCCAACGGTCAGTGCTCCATTTGCAATCTTCCTCGCCCTTGCACGGAATCGTCTTGAACGTCTCGGGCATGACGCCAGTAGGCATCGAATCATATGCCCAAATACACCCATCGACGAGTTTCCGCGCAACATCCATATCTTCCGTGCGATTGAATATCTTCGCGCCGAGAGCTACCATGCCGCCAGCGAAGCAGGTTAGGTGCTGGCCTTCGGGGTCCAACTTGACGGTACCCAGCGTGCTCGTGCGCACAGTGCCGGAGATCAGGATGTTCTGATTCTGCGGTATCAACGGGCGGAAGAATAAATGCTCTTTGGCGGGCTTCATAGCGCCTTCGTAGAGGCGTCGGTACTGATCGTTCAGTCCACCTAGCAGGAGATACTGCTTGGGAAAATACTCGTATAGGGAATCACTCATGCCGCCGAAAGTAAATGTGTCGCCGTCGAATTTCTCGTCGAGGGGGTTGATGAGAACGGGGAAGAGGCCTGGGAGGTTTGTGCGGTTCTGGTGCACTTCTAGTATGTCTGTGATTCTGCGGATCGCATCGTAGTATTTGGGCTCGTCGGTGAGCTGGGATAGTCTTGTGAATTCGAGGCTGAGGGAGCCTAGTTCGGCGCTGAGGGATTGGCCGTCGGCTTGCTGGAATTTGTTGGTTGCGCCTCCCTCCCAATCCCAGCGAGAGATGGGCATTCTGTTCGAAGTGTCGAAAGCTGTGTACAGCATATCTCCGAGCTCTGTAGCATGCACCAGAAGGGAATGATGCTTGCCGTTACTCAGGTCATGCGCGCTCAACAATCCTCCAAGAAACCTTATGGTCGTTTCGAAGACGTTCAGGCGCTGCAAGCCTGAGGTCGTGAAATCGATTTTCTTGACTGCTTTCACAGCCTCGTCGAATTCCTCTTCAAGTCCCATTATAACCAAGGTGTCCAACGTGTCGACCAGCGTTGCGCCGCGTTGCCCAAAGCCATTTTTAAACCCTCCTGTTACTGGCGTAACCTCGTCCTGGAGCCATGCATATTTCTTGTATCCATTCCATGTATGCAAGAATGCTTCCTTTACTGCAGCCTGCCGCTGCAGTCTCTGCTCCTTATTGTGGCTCGTCTCGACTCCGAACGCGTGTTGTATCTTCGGTATAGCGACGGGTTCGCCGGTGGGTAGTGGGGCTATTGAGGAGACAGGATGTCGCAGCGGAATGTCTTTCCACTTGACAGGATTCTCAATCAACTGAGACGATGTGAAGGTCGGCGAAGGGAACTCATAGCGAGGCCGCAGCTGCTGAAACGCAAGGAACACGAACGTCGTGGTAACGCAAAGTACAACAATACGTCGGAGTGTAAGACCCATCATAGCTAAATGATACGTCTAAAAGTTCGATAATAGTCTATAGCCTATAAGACATTGGTAGGGCTCATGAGAAGTCCTTGAAGGTGAGAGCCGCCGTCTGCGCCGTGGGAAGGAAACAGCGCGAAAAGCTCTAAACGGTGTCGCAAGAATGATGCTCGCCAAACTCAAGAAGTCTTAGAATCCAAACGCCAAAATATTTATACAGCGAAAAGAAAGTCACAGTTGTGAAGTGAGAAAGGGGATGTTGAATACATGGATGATGACCTCAGACCTCGAGGACGCGCAACGAAGGGACAGAGACGCCGAAGTCAGGGTCCACCCTTGCGCCGATCAAAAGTCGCGTCGCAACATTCCGAACAAAGTGCTGCTATCAGTCACTTATCCGCGCCAACACAAGACTTTTCTTTCCCATATCCGTCATCCTGATCGCATCATACATAGTGATCAAAGTAGAAAATTATTTCCTCCTTCCTGAACGCCCAGAATCCCCACCCGGCGTACCATCGTTATTCGCATAGCAGGAACGGAAGATGAAGTACAGCGGGTGAGTACTTCGCGATTTTACAATAAATGAAAAACTATGCTTCCATAGGATGCCTTTGCGATCGAATCCACTGTATGATTACCCCTTAAAGAGCCAGTATTGACGTGAGTATACAGCCTCTATTTCGTCAATAACCCCTCCATGAACCTCGAAGCTGCGGTCAACACAGTCAATACCTTAGTACAGGGTATCGAAAGCAGCTACCAGACTGCGACACGCCAGACACCATGGATGCTCCAGTACAGACTGTTCCGCGACACAATACCACCAGGCAACACCCCAGCCACGGATGCTGAGGGCAAGTCAAAGCCTTTTGCGCATACCCTCCAACATTTCCTTCAACTCTCGACTATCGACCCGAATCGTGCTTATATATGCGTTCAGCCGCCCAATGGCACGAGTACCGTCACAGCCATCCCATACCGCCAACAAGAACCCCTCGCACTGCTATTGAGACATCAATTCTCGGCGTTATGGCAACCACGCCAGGTTCTTACCATTCCGCAGGGCACAGCATATAATGTTGGGTTATTCACAGTACAAATAGGGGAACTACGATTAACCCGGGAAGGGCCGCAGTCTGGTGGCATACAGTCCCCAGGTGTGTTCATCTGCATCAGCACAACTGTAGATGGAGGCGATCCAGACGAGGCCCAGGGCCACACGGACGATGGGGAAGATGAGATCGACTTTGAATATGCACAAGCTGTTATTCGCGAGTGTTGGAGTAGAATCAAGGCCAATCGAGACCTCGGGAAATCGGAAACTAGAGAGGTCATGATGGCCCCGGAAAATCTCAAGAAACAGCAGAAGGAAGCCTCTGTCCGCATGTGGTGCGAGGGCCTTCGTTTGAGGGGCTGAGCTCAAACATGAACCTAACTCTCGAAGCTCTCAAATCAGACGAAATTCGACCATGGTGCCGGAGCGTCCGAGTGGGAACACAGGTTCTGTGTCTAGCCGAAGTCGCATCGGAACCTCGGTTTCATTCACGCATCATTGAGCACAAGACAGGAAGAAGATTGGATATCATTGATGGGAAGAAAGAGGGAGGCCACTCTCATGGCGTGCTAGCACCAAGCTCTGCGATGATGATCTCTGCCGCCTTCTCGCCAATTACCAACGCGGTGTTGTTGGTGTTAGCACCCACGTTTGCTGGTGCAATACTCAAATCCGCGAGCTTCAAGCCTTTCACGCCTATAGAGCATTCAAGCTCGGGTCGACAACACCATCTTCCTCGAATGGTGCCATCTTGCAAGTAGCCATGGAGTGCCAAGTGGTGTTGACGTTCTCGCGCAACCACTGCTCGATCGCTGCATCGTCCTCCTTGCTGTACACAATATCCTTGATTTCACTAAGTGGCTCAGAAAGCTCAACGACAGCGGCAGCTGATCCCTCTGGGAACTTGGGATGACCGGCTGCGAGTTCGCCGCGGTAGTACTTGGCACGGCGCACGATCTCACGCTGCTTCTTGTACGCCCACATTTGCTTCTTCAGGTCGATGTCATGTGCATCGTTGAAGAAACCGACATCGAAATCGAGAGGGTCGTCCAACTTCGAGCCAGTGATGTGCATATGTCCTCGCGAGTATGGGTACGCAGTGTATGTACCAGTTGTGATGTACTGGCCGGCGGGGACAGATGCTGGGTCGCCAAGGAAGCTGTATAATGTCAGACTTGTAAGAGATGGGTGGTGGAACAGAACTTACCACTGAATCACACCACAGAGCATAAGTGGTCGGTTTGGGATATCTTTGAAATCCTTGTCCCAGGCCTGCCTGAACTCTGGACCTAGAGCAGTGACTTCCTCCTCAGTTGGCCGCAGCTTCGACGAGATATCAATTGCGTTCCAACCAAGAACTTTGTACCATTGTTCTTGATCAATTCGGTAGCATCAACGCGGCCGCTCAGGATGCGATCAATTGTCTGGTCTGGCTCAAGGCTTGTCCGGTATGGGTACAACAGCAGGTGATGATCTTGGTAGTCTTTGCCAACACCTCGTAGTTCCTCTACAACAGGAACACCTGCGCGTGCGAGGATCTTTGAATCTCCAAGACCGGAACGCTCTAGAACGGGCGGTGTTCCACAAGCACCGCAGGTCACAACGACGAGCTTTCGTGCTTTGACGCTCTTTACGGGATGTCCAGTCAGACCGATGACAGCCTGGAACTCTGGATTCGGTGTGTATTCGACACCTACGGCGCGCTTGGTCTCATCGAACAATACTCGTACCACCTTGGACTCGACTAGAACGTGCAGATTCGGGTGTTGGCCATCCTCAAGCTTGGGGTGAAGATATTGATGCGCTGTGTCCTGGCGCTTGCCCTCGGGCGAGACGTATCGCAGCCATCTCTCGAAACCGTTGTTCGCATCAAGAGTCTGCAAATCTGAGATCTCAGGTACACCGTATCCTGCAGCTGCCTGCATGAAGTCGTCTTCGGCTGTCTTGGCTCTGAATCCACCGTCGGATACATTGATTGGACCGTCATACCCGTGGTGCTCCTTCTTTCCGGGTCCATGGTAGGTTTCGAGCTACCCATTATCAGCAAAAGTACATGAGATGATGCGGGGTGATCAGCGATCAGCATACCTTCTTCAGATGCGGCCACATCTCGTCCGCTGTCCAGCCCTCGGTCTTCCAGCTGTCGAAATCGCTACGTTGAGCTCTTGTGTACATCATGAAGTTGATGGAACTACCTCCACCAAGTGTACCTCCGCATGGTACGATCGGCTCTCTGTCTGCAAGCTGGGGCGCCTTATTGCCCTTGTAGAACAGCGCTGTCTTTGCTGTGGGCTGCAGGTTCTGGAGGTAGAAAACAGGGTTGACGATGTGTGGTACATCTTTATTATTGGCTCCCTGTTCGATGACCAAGACACTGAGGTTTGGAGAGTGCTCAGCAATGCGTGATGCAATGATGCAACCTGCAGTACCACCTATCATGCGGTGTCAGTGAGGTTTCGATCTTAAAGCAGAGGGGAAGACATACCTCCGGCAATGATGATGTCCACCTCATCGATGCCATCCGCCAATTTGTTTTGAAGACCCATGATGTCCAGTCACAAATCCTTCGCTTGAGTGAGGGTATACGCAGCAATACAATATTAAGATTGAACTGCAACAAAGATCTATCAGACCCCTGCGACCATCGAGCACATCTTATACCCCCGCATCGTGTACCTGCGCCACGCTTCTTCACGTGTCCCGCCAAATAGGAACTACGCTAAGCCAACGCAGCATGCTCAGCGCTCCATTCTGGGCCTGCAGCGAATCCACTCGGGCGTCTGTTGCATGTCTTGATTTGTTTGCCCCGGTGCTCTACACTAGCCTAGCGGAACTCCTTCCAAGTCTAGTTTTCCCCGCATTGTAGTGGCTTCAGGGTAACTTCAACGAGTCTGGATCAATTGTTATTCGGTGTTTCGAGACCGTCAAGAAAGCACTGGCCAATCAAACGTCTCTGTTCTAGGCACCTTGATGCACCATGCGGTCCGGTTCCGCACAGGTGCTCAATGTGGGAATTAGCCGATGTTCACCGTGCCTCTTGTTGTTTCGGCTGTGTAGCTGTGCAGCTCTATCAACTTGACTTCCCCGCATTTTCGGCTCACGACCAGATCCGAAAGGCGTCGATCTCGCGGCTGTCCGAAAGCACGTGGCTTTTCGTGGCGTGCATGTCAAGTATGGGTGGTTTACTCGCATCATCATCTGCTATGTTGAGCTCAAGCGCCTCAGAGAAGTCGTTTCGGGGCGTTGTGGTGAAGGAACATGGAGTACCTCAGCGCACCGTACTTCTCATTCGCAACACGAGGGTGGAAACGGACTTCAATTGAGATGATCAGTGAATCGGAAGAAGGTCAAGTGAGGCCTACGCAAGCATCATCCTCGAGAGAGAATGCCGTCGTCCGGACTGGCAGACTGACGGTACGTCTGTTGCCAAACGATATGTATAGTGGCAATAGACTGCATGTAGCGTTTGAACCTGCCTGTGTGATGACCCGACCAGTTGCATCTGGAAGAAATCTTAAAACCTTAGGATAAACAGACTCACCATGAGATATTGCTCGCTTCATGAAGATCAGTACACCTCTCTGTGTTCTTTGTGCGGAGAGCGCACGAAGATAAGGCCATGCTAATAACCTTTCGGAAGCGGTCAGAAACGTATTTGACAAAGGTTCGCCGATGATCTTATCTATCTCCTATTCCCCTTATCAGGAGATGCGAGCTGGGCATGATTTGAGCTCAAAATCAGTGAGCGTATCTCAAGGTTGCGATTCGTGGCGGAATTTGAGCGATGCGATTGGCCACAAATGGCCGCTAGACTTCTGGTGTGGAGTGGCAGTTTCCTTCACTTCACCTCACTCCTTAGTTCTTTACACTTCGTAAAATCAAATGTAGCGAAGGGAATGGGTGAATTTGAATGATATATGAGCTCTCGTCGAAATTCTAGACAGAGTGACACAGCTATGCAACATCCATCAAGTTTACGGTGGGTTCCGATTGGTACACCAGCATGGAGTGCACATTAAAGCAAAGCGTTCGCTAACGAGGGAAGGAGATTCGTATCTCTTATCTACATCTCACCAAAGCGACAATGGTCGCATGTTATGGACTCTTGAAATTGATCTTGGCTAGTCGTTCCTACTTGCCGCATTCGGAAGCCCCAGACGTTTGCGAAGGACGGGCACTATGACTTAGTGCCCATGGCCAAGTGCGGGGAGTGGATAGCCAGTAAAGAGATTAAGAGAGCTGCGATAGGCTCGATATGGTCGCATACTCGCGATGGCTTCCTCTATCTAGGGTCGAATATGAGAACGATGGCGCATACTTGGAAGTCGCGAGGGCGCATGACCTCGTAGCCAAGTGGCTCGCATCTATAAGACGGGCTGCTAGCGTTTCCCTAGACTTGAGAACTGATATAAAATTTTCGAAATACATCAAGGTTACTGCGACATATTCAACACAATGGCAGCAACACGCTCACTCAACTATTTCAATTTCAACGCGGCGGCAGCAAAGGATGCCACGTTGGAAAAGCAAAGCCCCGTGCGTGCTCTTCCATCATCATGGTACAGCTCTCAAGCCATGTACGAGATGGAACGCCGTGCCATCTTCTCCCTGTCGGTGGCTATTCATCACACACAGCTCGCGTGTCAAGAACGCTGGTGATTGGGTCCGCTACAACGTTGCAGGGTACGACTTCATCATTACCAAGGATCGAACAGGTGGCATAAATACATTCCACAATGTGTGCCGTCATCGAGCCTTTAGTGTCATAGAGGAGGGATCGTCTGGCAATTCCAAAATCCTGGCGTGCAGGTACCATGGATGGTCGTATGGCATGAACGGCAAGCTTGCCAAGGCGCCAGGATACCAAAACTTGGAGATGGACAAAGATCAGAATGGGCTCTTCCCGATTCATACACACATTGATCGCAATGGGTTCATCTGGATCAACATGGATGCAAAGGAGACACCGGAGGTGTAGTTGGAGGAGCACTTCGAAAACGTTGATATCCAGAAGCGTTACACTGACTCGAATATCAACTTCGACGAATACGAGCTTGAATACACTTACGATCTAGAAGGTGAAAAAGCCTGACTTAGCCGTCGCGAAAACATTTACGCTGACCACTTTTGCAGGCGCCTACAACTGGAAGATTCTCGCCGACAACTTCAACGAGTGCTACCACTGTCCCACCACACACACCGACGTCCCCACCTTCCTCAACCTCGAAACCTTCGACAGCGACCTCAAAGGCGGACATATCCAGCACTATTGCGAACCGACCGAAGACCAAGTCAAACTTGGCAACTACACACACAGTACCTACTACTTTCCCGTCTCGTCCATGGTTGCTGCGTAAGTCCATTACCCGTTCAGTTGCCTTTACTTTACATCCTAACCTCGCCGTAGCCGCCACTTCATGATGATACAGAAATTTTTGCCATCCTCGCCCACCTCATGCCAGATGTCGTACGAAATCTACCGCAAGAAAGGATCCAGCGACGAAGACTTCCGCCGCATCGCTGACGTTTATGAGCGTGTAATGAGTGAGGACAAGACCTTGTGTGAATTAGCGCAGAAGAACCTTGTCAGCGGAGTTTTTGTCAATGGCCAGTTGCATCCAAAATTCGAAAAAGGTCCGCTTTTCTTCCAGAACAATGTTAGGCAGATGATCACCGAACACTATGAGAAAGAGAAGAAAGAGGGTAAGGAGATTTGGCCCGCGAAACACACACCGACCGAGAATGCAAGCATAAGCAATCAAGATGAGGAAATCTGCAGAGACATTGAGTGTGGGACCGGGGGCCAGAAGGAGGTATTGGCTTGGTAGGGATTTGTATCGAAGGTCGGGTCCAGGCGTTACAAAGAAGATTGTGAATTTGATGTTAGCCTCCTAGCAATATATCATGATGTGTGCTCAATCTCTCTATTTCTGCTTTGAACAATGTCCTGTGTTTGCAGCGCCCGTCAGCAGGCAGTCGTCTCTCGGGACTATTATTGAGATTGAAAGTGTGATTGGGGGCCAAAAGCTAATAAAGTGTTTTTGGGAGGTGAACCTCCAACAAGAAAAGGGGCAATTTGTGAGAGTTGTGCCATTTATGTATCAACTGGGAAGACTTGTGAGGTACGAGCGTCGACAGAGATGAAATTCTCCTTTACAAACACGCTATGTTGAGTGTTGATGAGCTTCTTCGCTCCTGCGCCTCCGCGATAGGTAAGCGCCGCGAACTTGACGCTTGTGCGGCTGAATTTAGCGCTGCAGCCTTATTTCCAGGGCCTGATATTCAGATCTTCAAGCCACCAACATATTTCAAACACTTGAAGACAGATTGTTTTTAACTCGAAGACCAACACTCGCACCTGCAATTGCCGTCACATTTTACAACGAACATAACAGTTCCGTACATGCGTATCTCAAAGTGGCTGTAAGTGTTGTCGTAGGACAGCGGTGCAAGACCGACCGACTGTGTTTGCAATTGTTTATTCGCGCTACACAACGCGCCTTGATGTCTGTACTTGATTGGCGTCCGGGTTTTTTTGCTAGCACACGAAGTTAGCGCTACCAGTGGGGGCCATTGCACAGATGTAGTCTGAAACCCTGCGCCGCAATCCTCTCGGCTTATCCTCACCTCAGCGAACCTTCTCCTTGCGCCTTCGCTCCTCCATCTCTTTCGCTCTACATTTTGACGTTGTCTAGGGCTCGAAATCGCATTTGCAAGCAATATGGCAACCCCGGATTTAGACACCAACCAATGGTACCAAATCTACCTAGGTGAAGACAAGAATGGACAGTCGCTCGTTGGAACGAGTTTGTACACGGGAAGTGGCACCAAAGGCGCCGTCTTTCTGAGTCCTTCAAACACAACCGAGCCGGTGCAGAACTGGCAAATCTTTCCCGTTACCGTCAACGATACAACCGCCTACACTTTGCGCAGTAAAGATAGCGGACCCAACGGCTTCCTTGGTGCGCAATATACTCCAGAGGAAGCAACAGAAGGCAAGACGCGCCCGGCCATGTTTCGAGGCGACGTTGCGAACAACAATGTGTACTGGTCTTTCGGCAGCTGGGGAGACGGGACATGGTTCTTGACCTGTGCAGCGAATGGATCAGATTATCGCATGAACAAGAAGAACAACGGCATCATGGCCATGAGCCCGAATCTTACCGCACCTCAGAATGGACAGAGATACAGCTTCGCGCCCATTGCTAAGATTGATGATGTAAAGTACTCGAGCGTTAATGTAAGCTGATCCAGTCTCCAATTACATCGGGTGATACTGACGTTCGACAGTTAGTCGGTGCGGTCCCCACCAGCAATGCGATCTCCGCGACGTCGTCTGCTAGTCCAGTGCCGACATCAGTATCATCGGCTGCAGCGTCATCGTCAGCAGCGTCATCGTCAGCAGACGCGAAATCGGAAAACGCATCGTCGGGCCTATCTACGGGTGCGAAAGTCGGTATTGGTGCAGCTCTGGGAGGCGCTGCGCTCATCGCGCTTATTTTTCTAAGCTTGTTTTTCTGGAAAAAGCGAAGGCAGCAACCTCAGTACACAGAGCCGCAAGAACTGGCCTATGCACCGGCCACGAAGTACCAGATGTATCAAGATAGCGCCTTGAAGCACGAATTGCCATCACCGGACATAGTCGAAGTGCCTAGTGATGAACGACCTGTTGAGCTGCCTGGACAAATGCCTCAAAGAACAGGACAACATCCCTGAACGGAAGCGAGAATACCAGTTGAACACCCCAGACCAAGCATCCCTGGCAGTTAGTGTCGGTATTTGTCAGTAGGTACGTGCAGTGCAGTGTTGCACAGCGTCTAAGTATTCGGTTATGCACTCCAGATTGTCGAATGAATCCACGCGATTGTCACCGCCAAGCGCTGAGGGAGCATGACACAGAACGCTGGTTGATCAGCCTCCGACCTTGGCACCAAAATCTTTTGTCCATCAAGAGCTTCGAAATCACGGCACCAAATTGATGCCAAGATCTTCATATTACCATGGCTTGCTGTGGGACTTATAGTTGGACAAGAGTAATTGCAAAAAACCCCGGAGCTTAGCAATGTCTATCAGCTTCCGATACAGGGCATTCTACCACCGTGGACGGATATCTGCAGACTGAAATCTGAATAGGACCTGGGCATGACCTGCCAAAAGGCTACCTACGTCCTCAACTTCGCGGGGACGAGAGGCCAGCCATCGGGGTTGGAGGGGTTTGCGGACTTTTGCAAGATTGATAGACCACAATCGCGGGCCGGCTACTCAGGTCGTACGAACTAGCACTCAACCCCTTTGCATCAACAGGCTTAGTCTAAGGCATTTGCGATGTGCGCACACCATTACTCCACAAAAGCAATGTGACAGAATCAACTCCAGGCAACGCCAAGTGTCTCTTCTCGTGTTAGGGGCAATATATAGTGATTTGCGACGCCGGTCGGAGCCATCCGAGATGACTTGGTCTGCCGGCAAAATACCCCTGCATCAACCATGGGGAAATCGGCGGTAATGTAGATTGCCCTGTGAAGATCAGCAACGTGCTAGTCCACCGTCCATGAATTATACGCACAAAAGAACTTCGCCACAATACGCATGGCTGCTAAGTGATCAGTAGAACAGTACTGGGGATGCTCTTTCCGCGACTCTTGAACGTCTTTGTGTATGAATAGAACCCCTTTGCCACATGTAGCAACGAATTCGCCCTTGCACACCAGAGCTAATGTAAAAAGAGTGACTTCTTATTCTCGTGATCGCCCAAGCACTTACTACGCCTTTTTTTCTCCCAAATTAAGCTCAGTCATGGTGTACCTAGGATGTCTCGTCTAAACGGCACGTTCAGAGGATGTCACCTTGGCAATGACGGCAGGTAGGAGAGTTTTTCTCGACTAATATACACCAAATAAAAGTGGTGCTATAGTCTAGTGCTTCAGGGAGACTTTGAGTCAATATTCTCATTAATGTCCGAGGCCTCTTCGTGTTCGACTGTCAGAATCCCTCAATTCCGACGACAACGAATCTACCATCTTTGTCGAGGATCTTTTGCTCATCTGAATCGAGGATCTGACTACCCCACAGTTGAGATGGTTCAGGTTGCTCTATATTGTTCGTTGCATCTGCCGGTCCTATCACACAGTCCGCATATTCCATCACGCACATCTTCCACGTGCTGAGCATACATGTTCTAATAACACACCCATATACAATCACTATCTCTTCTCTCTATCATCACGGTGGCATGCTCCGGAGCCCAGGGTCTGGATGATGTGAGCCTCCCGGAGCAAATCTGACATGGTCGGAGTCGGAGCATATCTGACAAGCTAGCAGTATAAAAGAGACCGGATTCGTCAAGCTACTAGGCGTCACTCGAAGTCGTCTCAAGTGAACGATGAGGGTCCAAACCTCGCTGAGGGCCTTTTGGGCTTTTTCTCTTGCAGTGTCACTATTTTCGATTCTTTGCGCTGCTGACGTTGTTTCCGATCTCGCGACCAAGGGTCGTCCTGCCGTTGACGCTGCGATCGCGAAATCGACAACATGTACCAAGGCAAAGCTGCAAGTGCGTCGAGAATGGTACCGTCCTTCTCCGATCTATGTTACACGACCTTGCTGACATTAACCACTAGGGGCGACACCACCGCGGCTGAGAGGAAAGCGTACATAGCAGCAGTGCAGTGTCTCACCAAAGCACCGTCCAAACTTAGCGCTACACAATATCCAGGTGCAAAGACTCGCTACGATGACTTCGTCGCCATCCACATGAAGAATACGCTGAGTATCCATGGAACCGGCAACTTTCTCTCTTGGCACAGATACTTCACCTACGCGTATGAGCAGGCGCTAGTAATCGAATGTGGGTATAACGGCACACAGCCATACTGGGACTGGGGACGCTACACCGCGCCTGAAACCTCGCCCCTTTTCGATGGTAGCGAGACTAGCATGGGCAGCCAAGGAGAGAAAGTGACGCACAACAGCAATGGTATGAAGCCAGCTGGAAATGGTGGTGGATGCATCGCCAAAGGTCCATTCAAAGACATGAAGGTGAACCTTGGGTACGTTTCTATGTCTCATACACATCTGCATCGCTAATTCGGAAAGACCTTTGGCTGCGTTGAGTGACACCAGCCCTCCTCGTAATCCGCGCCAGGACGGCTACGGCTATAACCCTCGCTGCATCAAGCGTGACATCAGTGGATACTTAGTGCAGCGCGACTCGACACCTGCTAAGACCGCAGCTTTGATCACTAACAGCAAGACCATTGGAACTTTCCAGGACACAATGCAGAGTGGCACTGGTGTGCATCCTGCAGGGCACTTCACCGTGAGTGGTGATCCAGGTAGTGGTAAGTACCCCGGACAACTTGTTCGCAAAGGGATGATGCCTAATGCCACAGCACAGACTTTTACACCTCGCCAGGAGATCCGTACTTTTGGCTTCATCACGCCATGATTGACCGAGTGTGGTGGATCTGGCAGGCGCAAGATTACGCGAACAGACAGCAGGTCATCGCTGGCGGAACATCGATGTTTGGCGGCGGTCGTGCACAGTCGCTGGAGGACAATGTCGACTTGGAGGTGCTGAACGTAAATGGCAAGGTATACAAGATCAAGGAACTGGTCAGCACGGTTGATGGTCCGCTCTGCTATGTTTACGAGTAGCCAGTATGCCACTGGCCTTGACATGAAAGTGCGGGCAGTCAAAACACAACGAATACTATATCTACGTCGATGATTTCATCATTAGCCAGTGTAGATGCAAATGAGAACCGTTGTGAATATAATAGTGATTGAATTGGTCCTCAGATTAGCTCTCCTGCTGTCCTCAGAAAGAACCACAGACGCTTGTCGTCCAGCCAAGCAGCCGAATAGACAAGCATCCAGGCTCCTCAAATCGACTTTGGCTTTAATGCCTCACCTCTATGGCGAAACATCATCACTGAACCTCTTCAATCCACCGTTCGATAGATCTCGGAAAAGAAAACATCCACGTACGCTCAAATCCCAAGCCCGCAACCCCAACGGCGAATCTCCACATTCAAAGGCGCTCGGATTGAAAACTACATTTGATTATCAGCAGCAAGCACGTCCTCCAATCTTGCGAAAGGTAGCACGGCGCTTCAATCCTTTTACTTTTTCCTCAATGCGCAGTGGAGACGGTCAGGGCGGGATCAATGGTGAGTTGGCGACCCAGCAGCTTGCGAAACGCTCTTTGGCATGGTGCAATGACAAAAGTAGCGACATGGCTCATCATGAAAAGATGGCGCACTCCCTCCGCTTTCCGTTCTTGTTTGTCATGCAGTGAGACGCCCGGTTGATTAGACCACGGCGTAACCTTGTGACGTAGGTTTGTCGTTCACTGGGATCTATCATATGTAAGCAACAACATTGAGCGGGTATATGTAAGTACCGCGACTTGCAGCGATGCAAGCGCAATAGCAAATACTTACTCGCAGCGCGGGTCGTGGATGGTGAGAGGAAACTCGTGTCGACGCGAAGATTATCCTAGCGGAGTCGCGCCATCACGGGCCGCGCTAGTGACATAAGCACGCTAATGCCGCATTGAGCAATCTTAGCTCCTGTCAGGATCGTTCACTTGCGATCACGTCACTCTTGTAAGGACATACCAGGAACCCGTTTGTTGTATCTATTCGCTTTGAGAGACAGAGTCTGCTTCTATTAGATGCCTCGGACAGATGATCTTTGCTAGCCAAAGACAATATCCTGCCGCACCTGCAACTCTAAGTTACGAAGCTCCCGTTTCAGGACCGAGAATAGCCTTTCTGCTTTCATGTTGATCTTGTATAGACTGAATCTCCAAAACGAGCTTTGCTGATATGACACGATATAGCCATGGCAAGTTGTCGACCGACGCATGAGTACAAGCCTGAGCAAATGACCCTTCGTCTCAGCTCTTTTGTGTAGTACTGAACATCTCCCCGCACTCGATTCATCGCACATCTAATATATGTATCGTCTGATTATACTGGTATTATATGAATCTTTCATTAGTGTATTAGATTAAGCGACGAATACTTGATCATCGGCAATCTCATCTTTGATGTTGTAAAGTCTTCCAACCCTCAACTACTCTGGCCTTATCTTCTGGGGTTGCGCTGTCGAAGTCAACGAGACTTTGTCTGAGTCGAATCAGATAGATCTCGGCTTGGAGAGATGTGAGGCGGTGTTTATTAATCTCCCGCTCGATGCCCTTAAGGGTGTATCCGGGAAGACCCCAGCATGCTGTATTTCATTGTCAGCTCAACAAAAAACTCGCAACGAGCTCTATGGGTGAACATACCAGCCATAACGTGACACCATAATCCACCCAGACCTCGTCCTACGCCTCTCACAGCACCAAGTGGTCCTTCTCTCTTAGCACCAATGTATGGATGCCACACTATGCTGCCGACTCCCTCACCGAGCCCGAAGACGAATTCCTGCCGAAATGTGAGCTAAATGTCTGGCGCCACGGCTGATGACACTGACTTTGCCGGCAACGCCTAAGCCACTTCCTATGCCAGTGATTTCATCTCTTCTTCGATGAGGCTCGTTAGTGATCGTGTAGGACGGAAAATTCCGGAAGCCGTTAGCGACATTGTAGAAGAATGCGACCGGTGCTGTTGCAAGTTGTGAGATCGAAGTTGAGTGACAAGCGTTGCAGCACTTACCTCGCAAGCTCGTTCTCGACACGTCCACTGTATATTGCGCAGCTGCACTTGTAATCTGACGTGCCCTTCCCTGTTTGGAATTCTTGGCGCAATTTTGAGATCGTAGTTTCACAAACAACATAGACTGGCCGCCTGGTGGTTTTCTTAAATTGTCGTTTAGATCGTCCTCGAATCTCTTCTTTGCCATTCTCTGGGCCATGTTCTCGAGTTGTCCGGAGCTGGGCGTGTCGGGTTTGGGTTGCACATCGGATTCATGACTTTCGGAAGACTTCGCAGTTGCTGTTGGACGTCCACTTTCGCTCTTATCAGGTCGCCGAAGGCGGTCAGAAAAGTCCGTGGTGTTCGTTCCTAGGGTAGCAGCAAAACCGGCAACAGCAGCTACTGCTCCAACTAGAGGCCCTTCTGCGCCCTCATGTACATCTAAATCCATCAGCGATTATGTTCCACGTATGTTGCAACATCGATCTTACACCAGCGTCTATGACGGAGCCTGAATAATTAGCTTGGACTACTCGGAGGGCTTTCCAACCACTTACAAACGTAAATGTCTCGGGTGGATCGAGCCATCCTTTACAAGAACGCACGCTGCGAGACTGCAGAGATGTGCACCTGTTTTCTTATCACGCCATACGGCTAAACGTTCCGGACAGACATGACATCTCATCTTGTCAATATCCAGGTTCTGCTCGAATGCCTCCACGGTCGCTGCAGCACCGTCTTCCTTGGCTATCTGAGCCGCCATTTCTTGCACGGCTATCTTAACCTCGTCTCGAAGCGCAAACTTTATGCTAGCTGCAAGACTCTCGGCAGTCATTTGTTTGAACGGAACCGGCTTTGGACCAGCACCAGCACGAGCGATCATCTGGCCCCAAAACGGCTGGTCGCCGAAGAATGGCACCACGACTGTAGGCACTCCTAGCGCAATGCCTGCTGCTGTTGTACCAGCACCACCGTGATGAACAACACAGGATACACGTTGGAAGAGCCAGTCATGAGGACAGTTTCCAATGAGGTAGACACTGTCGGGTACTTCACCGCCGCCGATGCCGCCCCAACCCTTTGATACAATCGCACGAACTCCTGCCAAGCGGACTGCTTCAAGAATAAGTTCAGTTAACTTCTTTGGGTCGTCCACTACTATCGATCCGAAGCCGATGTAAACAGGGGTTGGGCCTTTCTGGAGAAATGCGGCCAGGTCTTCAGGAGGCGTGTAGGTCGAGCCTTGATCCAAGAACGAGAAACCCGTAACACTAAGATGAGGAGGCCAGTCTGGGGGTCTGGCGATCAAGGATTGAGACCACAGATATGAGTGAGGTACTCGAAGTCGCTGCAATAATTGAAACCCCCACATTGGACTTATCTGCATACGGTGGACATGTCAGTCCAAGCAACACATCTTCGTAATGAAAAATATGACGAGACTTACCGCATCTAACTTGAGAGTCTGTACGCGGAACTTGTTAATGAGGTCTCCAAGCCTGTCTAATGTTAGTAATTCATCTCGTACACCGGATCACCAGCTTGGTGCATCTACATACCCCTGCCACGTCAAAAGCTCCATCACAGCGAAGCTGAAGTAATTCGCCACAGGCTTATCGATGTCTCCATACTCCATGGCGGCGAGCGGATGATGGAAAGCCTTCGTCGGAGACCACGGCATGGTGAAAACAATATGCAAAGGTATGCCAAGCTTTTCGGCGCAATGAATGTGGCCCATAGACGGCGGATTGGCGATAATTACGTCGGCGAGAAACAATTCCTGATGCTGATCTACGTCGATAGCTGTGATCTTTTCCCCCGTCCCATCACCGGCCTCTATACAACTTCGCCAGGTTCCTTCAATGATTTCAGCCATTTCTTTCCGCCTTTTACCAATGTCACCAGCCTTTACGCTCTCTTTGCTAGGTAAAAGGCCCGGATTCTTCACCATGTAGGCCATAAGTGCTTCAGGGTCGCCATTGATTGAGAAGAACTCAAGACCGTTGCTCTCCTGCGAAACAAATCAGCACATTGATCGCTCATTCGCCCCGAAAAAAAAAAGATTAAAACTCACGACAAACTCTTTGAACGCTGGATGCGTACATATCCGTACTCGGTGTCTATGCGGCGCTTCCTGCAGCAATTTTGCGATGGGAATGAATGGCTGAACATCGCCTCTCGAGCCGACAATGTGTATGGCTATGTGCAGTCGCGGAGCGGGCAGTTTTGATTTCTCCCTCCGAAGTCTGTTCGCCTGCTTTAATTTCTTTGCTGCCTCATGAGCAGTTCGCTGCTCCGCATCTTCGAACCAGTGCCGTAGGCTGGTCGGATTTTGGTGGAATTTGACAGCTACTTGTCCGAAGGTGTTCACTCTCCTCGTGGTTTTTGCATCGAGAGCCGCAAACTTGTTGTGGTGCTTGGTGTCCGGTGATAAGAACGACATCGTCGCATTTGGAGTTGGTATGCAGGATGCCGCGGAAAAGGAATACCGTGCATAGACACCAGGCGCCCGGAGACACTAGGCGCCTACTCTAAAACTAAAACGTGTTATTAATACTAACTTTAACACGTTATAACTCTACTACTATAGATCTAATTTAAGCTATAATTAAAGATATTAAATTATATAAGCTAGAAGAACGTTTTACGTATATAGAAGTTGCTATAAAATATAATATTAATTGCATAATATTAAGCTAAAGATATAGAAGCATATAGGCTATAGTAGGCACTTAGCTACTAAATAGATGCAAACTTAGCTTACTATAGAAGTTAGAGCTTATACTATATATTAAAAAACTTACTAAGCAAGGCTTACCTTTTATAAGAGAGATAATTAGAAATTTTATCTTATCTATAGCTAAGAAGAAGGTCTCTAAGCGCTAGGTTTTGCGCTTTATTAGCTAGAATAAAAATAAGCTTATCTTAAAGAGAACTAGCGCTATAGATTATATATATTACTAGGCTAATTTCTATATTAAATATTAAGCTTACTTTAACCTTCTGCATAAGAAGCTTAATAAGTATTATCTTAAAGCTAGTAATATATATAATATAGATAAGAAGAGCTTTCTTATTAGAATTATTAGAATAAGTAAGAGAGTTTTTAGTAAATATTAATAAGATAAGAAGAAAGTTAGAGCATTACTTTAAGATAAATTATATAAATTTTTAACGCTTCTAGCTTATATCTGCGCTAATAGAAGCTTACTGCTACTAAGCTTTATCTACGTATTAACTTAAAGAGTAATTAGATTAAACTAGATAGAGAGAATTACTATAGAGAATTATAACATCTTTATTATATTATCTTAATTAAGTTAGAGTAATAATAATATTAGTTTAGTATAGCTTAAGTAGATATTTAATTACTATATAAAGAATAAACTAAAAAAGTAGTAATTACTTATTCTTAATAGCTATAAATCTTATCTTATCTTTAAGTTTCTTAAGTATTATAACTACTATAGAATTCTTCTAATAGTATTTTCTTCTTATTTAACCTATATGCTATAACTACTAAATATAGTAATATTTAAGCTACTCTTATTAAGCTACTCTAATAAGCTTACTTAGTATCTCTATAATGCCTAGAGCTTTATCTCTATTAAGAAAGAAGACTTTTTCTCTCTTTTCTAGTAAGCTTAGAGCTTATTCTTTAAAGAAAATACTATCTTAAAAGCTTTTAAAGCTACTAGTATATAGCTAACTAATCTAAGAGTTATTCTTAATAGATTTAGAATAATACCTAATAAGAACTCTAGTAAGCTATTCTATCTCTCGCTAAGTAATTAGAATTACCTATAGTAATTAGTATAAGAT